ATATCATTTTTATTGGTATAATAATCATTAATATTTTGTGCAATAAAAGAATATCTTTGTTATGTCTTTCACTAACGTTACTGTTCTGCACCTCATACATTTTAAACTCTCAGTTTCAACCCCGCTTATCGATATTATTAAAAAACAAACCAAAAGATTTTATAAATAATTCTAAAATCTTTATAAACGAATAACAATTCCCGGATACACATCCACGTTTCGTTGCATCCAACAACACCCTTCCTGCACCTGTTTATCGAAGGTGTTTTAAAAATCATTCATACAGCAAGGCAAACATAACTAGCTGTGCCGTCGCGACATCGTCCGCGTGAGGTTATTTTTGGTTATCATATTATTTGATTTAAAAAAAAAAATGCAAACCCCCGAAAAATTAGCTTCATAATTTATTATTTTAGCTATAACTCACGACGTCGTCCGCGTCCCGTCATTCTGCGAATAGTCTTAAAAGATAGACACTAATCTGTCGTGGTAATATTTTTTACTCCGATGCAGCACTCAGTAGAAAGAAGAAACAATCTTTTCATTAGTCACCAATATTCCTGAGATGTTTTTAACAAACAAAAAAAAAAAAAAAAAGCCCCTTTTTTAAGGGGGGCCCACACAAAAAGGGAAAAAAAAAAAACAACGGCTCACACGTTGAAATTCGAAACATTAGTTCTTTTGAGATTAGCGCATTCAAACAAACAAACGAAGTCTTTAGCTTTGGATAAGAATAGTTAAGAGATAATATCTCCTTCACAAACACACACTGAATCTACTCGTTTATTACGTTTTGGAGACTACATGAAACCCTTAAACGGACACATTTCTGTACCCAGTTCACTTGATCGATTCTATTAACACAAGATTACTACTTCAATTATGACAAGCCAAAAAATTTCTGAAGAAAGACTGAAGATATAGTGCCTCATTAGTTTATACAGTTGATTTTCTCATTAAGGTATATTAATCCATAACAAATGACGTAGGCAAACGTTTTATGTTACTTGAGGTACTTAATTTTATGTCGAGTCATGAACAGTTAAAATTGTTTTGTTATAAAGATCTCTATTAAAACTACAAAGTATAGTATATAAAAAATACTACTGTGTTACGAAGATTAATACTGCGTTACTTTTGTGTCCCTCTTGTTTTTATTGTATCTTTAATTATACAAAGGACTCTTATTGTCAAAAATGTCTTAAATTTATACGTACGTACTATTTATGACAAGAACAATACTATGTTGTCAATTGGAATTAATTTTAAGTTGATTTTTGTAATTTATGGAAAAGTTTAAGTTTTAATATTTAACATAGGTAACGCAGTGTATCTAATTAAACATGAATATTCGATGAAACTGATTATTTCTGTGATTTTTCTTTATAGGTGATTTATATAATCACTACAGTTTAAAACTGACGTATTATTAAGTCTCAATGTCCGATTTATTAAATAATAACCTCATCTGTAAAATAGTTACGCAGTTGTTTAATTTCTCGACAACTTGATGTATTATATGCTATAAATATTATTAAATCATTTAAACCATCGCTGCTGAGGTAGGTGTGTTATAAATAGAACTATAACATATCTATTTCAGCATTTAAAAAAAGGAAATTAAGTATTTCAATTTTGAAAAAAAAATCTGAATTGTGTTCTCGGATTAGGCACTTAAAAGTATTTTGGCCCATATACTAGCTGTGCCCGCGACATCGTCCGCGTGGAGTTATTTTGGTTATCATATTATTTAAATACTGTCTATAGTTTACGCGAGTAGTACACATTTAAATAAAACACTTTAACGGTTTAAAAGGCGATATATTAGTTAAACTTATTTGAAAATGATTTTTAACTTCGGTCCGACGTTTCGGATGCTTTGCAGCAGCCGTGGTCACGGGGAGACTCCCCGTGACCACGGCTGCAAGTTAAAAATCATTTTCAAATAAGGTTAACTAATATATCGCGTTTTAAACCGTTAAAGTGTTTTATTTAAATATCATATTATTTATTTATGCAAACCCCCTTAGCTTCATAATTTATTATTTTAGCTATAACTCACGACGTCGTCCGCGTCCCGTCATTCTGCGAATAGTCTTAAAAGATAGACATAATCTGTCGTGGTAATATTTTTAGATCACTTAAAGAAGAAACAATCTTTCATAAATATTCCTGAGATGTTTTTAAAATTCGAAACATTAGTTCTTGAGATTAGCGCATTCAAACAAACAAACGAAGTCTTTAGCTTTATAAGAATAGTAGAGATATCTCCTTCACAAACACACGAAAATCTCGTGTTTAACTCAATTCTAGCTACAATTGACCATTAACCTAAGTATGCGGGATCCATTTTTCGTAATCAATTTTCATTTAATTACTTTCTTATTTAACACGTGTTTTAAAAATTTAACTTTGGAATAACAAGTGTGTATCAAGCCCGCATGTGTCACTTTTCGCCACAAAATAATTGCAAAATCATTTTGCTTTATATAAATGAAAATAATGAATTATTTTTCTACATCAGGTCTATCGCAACTGACAAAATTTTCCAAAGAAACGCATTGCACAATCATATGGAAACAATAGAAAAAAATAAAAACCAACAATTTTGCCGATATGGATCATTATCGTGGTTATTGTTAACTACGTGTTTTTGTTGCAGGTGAGAATTTAATACTGTATAATTAAAATTACGATAATATCAATTACTTGTTCATATAAAACAATTGGGTCATCTCTTGAGAATTCAAAATCGGAACATAGGCCAACTAACAAATACCGACCAGTGATATTGGAACTAGAGTTTCTATGATCTTATATACTGTATACATGTCAACATATTTTGGATTATAAATTTCGTTATCGAAACAATAGGTACTTCTAGTTTGGTCTCATATTTCGAGTATTACTTCAGATAAGGAGATGAAACCTATTCAGTCCGTTTATCTCGTAGCTTGAGAAAATGTTAATCGATTCTGAAGGCAGATAAAAACGATATCGTCTTACAACAGGCCTATATGATACGGCACCGGCATTTGTTTTTTTATAAACCGACATTTTGTTATAAAAAATATGATGTTTATATAGAATATATGAGTCGCTTGCAGCTTTATATGACTGCATTAAGCTCTTTCAAATTTACTTTATTTACGACATAGGAGGGCATACAAGCTAGAGGCACTTGGAGAACGGCGAAATACCTGATATATTCATAGTAATATTACTATGAATAAAAAAATCATGATATTTTAAAATGTAATTATTTCTCCTATAGAGAGATGGTAAGGTCGTAAAGATAAACGTGTTTAGATGATAGGATTATATCCGTAAGTTATTTTAAATTGATTTTATGATTCCCACATCAAGCTAACAAGGAGATATGAAGACCAAGAAACAATGCCTCCCTTATCTTCCTTTCATATCACACGAACATTTCCAGCAAACAATTGTATTGCCATACACTTCCGCCACAATCAACGCTTGGTTCACTTCACACCCTGTATATATCACGCTGAATGAACACCGAGTAATTTGAAATTTCAGTAAGGTTTATAGGGAATAACATATCTATATTAATGTTATAAAGCTGAAGAGTTTGTTTGTATGATTAATTGAACGTGCTTATTGCAAGAACTACTGATCACAAGAAACGTTATTATGGTAATCAATTTTAGTCCAAATACTTCACATGTTATGTATATGGAGAGTTCAACGTGTTGCCTAGCAACCTGTTAAAAGCAAGTCCCGAAAACCAAACAACTCGGTAACAACTTAGGTCGAGAAAGGCAGAGTCTCTAAAACAAATCGGCCACAAAATTTAGTCCGCCGCGCACTCAGCAAGTGACTTAGATTGTATAAGAATACGAAAGTCCAAGACATATTTATAATAAATTTTAATAAAACTGTTAAAAATTTGACGTTAATAAGACAACTAGATATTCAAATTTTTTTTTAATGTCGTAAAAAAAAAAAAAAAAAAAAAAAAAAAAAAAAGGAAGACGAATTTATTATAAGGATTCTTGGTTAATAATTATAGAATTTCCATCATATATTTAAAAGGTGAATACTAATAAGATATATATAAAAGCTATACTATCGAAAACTCATTAAGCAATAACTACTTATAATATTTAAATAAAGCCGATCGTCATTTGTTACTTTATACTTAACAAAATAGTTAATTATGTTTTTAATTGTGATGAAGATAAATCTGTGAGAAAAGTTTGTGATGAAAGTAGGTTAATTATATTATTATAGCTGCCACAGAAATTAAAAGATGGACAAGGATATATATTTCGTACATTAAACTATCTACATAATTTTTATAGTGTTTTGTTTTGTAGGTCAACGATGGGTGTGTTTATAATTAAGGTTAAAATATCTAGAAAATAGATACGTAGCAAAATAAAACAATTAACTAAAACAGTTGGCGTTTTAAACCGTTAACAATGTTGTATTTAACACGAGATGTGTGTTTCATAATACTTTCATAATACGCTGGTTTGTTTTAGAAAATATCAAATTGCTAGGAATTAATTGAGAATTGATTTGCCCTTGTACTGCCTGATATTCAGCAGTTTTCCGGAGGGTCACTGCGCTGGTCAGACTTAAAACAATGAAGAGTTTGTTTGTTTGTTTAATCTCTGGAACTAGTAGTTCGAAATGAAGAATTACTTTCGAGGAAGGGCTGTAACCAATAGCCGCAACCAAGGGTACGCTATTTCAAGATGCATACGTACTAATAACCTTCTTAAATCAAAAATCGATTATAGATTTTCAAATTACGACACGGGCAGGACTTAAACTGGCATTCACAGCGTTCCGTGTTGCTTTAACAGATTGAGCTACCGTGTTTTTATTTTCTGTAGTGCCATCATGTGCTACATGTGAAAATTTAAAGTTTTCAAATAATTACCCTCTTTCTTAACTAAGTAAGTCTCGACAATTCTAGTTGAGCTTTTTAATAAACTTATGAATTATAGAGATAGAAAGGTACTTACATTTTCATTCTGCATGTCTTTCGGGCATAACTTCAGTGCTGAATCTGGCTTGGATTTAGCAGCCGGTGACCAGGAAATGTATCGGTTTGATAGTTTCCTGGCAAAATTACTCTTGAATTCTTCGCATCGCATTATCGATTCCACGGGTTTATTAAATTCATCTTCGAAGGAAGCGTCTGTGTTATTTGACTGCGCGAGCATTTTTGAAACCGGCGCGTGGTTAGTTTGTTCCGACTCCGAGTCACGACCGTTAATCGCGGCGGTAATATTTCAACTGAATGGCTTGGCAAGTCGGCTAAGCGCGAACCAAATATGAGAGTTGAATATTGACTTATAACATTAATATTATTAATATCTTAAATAACACTAGAGATCAAAATATTTAATTTTTAAAAATTCTAGGATTTTGTTAATTTTCATAGCAAAAACAAAGAGAAAGAAAAGTATAAATATTAAAGTTTTGTTACCTGCCATCTAGCGGCGTAATAAGAAAACAATTGCATTCTAAAACTGCGATATTATTTAGAATATGTAATGTAATAATGCTTAAGCTCTGTGTGTATACGTAACTTGTCTCTAGATGGCGCTTTCTTACATTTATAATCACATATAAATGTTTTTCTCATAACAGTCACTATAGCAGCGCTATGAAGTTTTTTAACAAGCAAAACTGTTAAATTTTTAAGATAAGAGCGAATGAACTAAGGATGAGAAGTCGTGTGATGCTTGATGTTGGGAAGCTTCACATTTGTGTCGGAGGTTTTTATTGTAGGGTTTTAGTCGGTTTAAGTCCGACACAACCCAGGTGCGGTAGGTATCCGAAAGGATTTCCCCACGGAAAAAAAAGGATAAGAAGAATGTTCTGATCATTAGTGTTTTCGGTTTTATTCCATCTAGGTATATCTATATAGAAAAAACATGGTTTTGCTATTATTTTACAACTGGCGTAATAAATTGGTAAAATTATGTGCTAATCTTATGTGTAAGATATTTGTAAAGTTATGTTTAAATACATGAATAATCAATGTTTTATTGCTGCGAAAATAGTACAAAGTCCTTTAATTATTTTAATAACGGAAGCACATGCCAGTATACACAACAGTGTTACTTGAAAAAAAGGTTAAGCCATTCAATATGTGAAGTAGAACATTTTATTGATATGTATTTGATTAATTTGATAATATTATGATTATTCCCGTTTGTCGGGTTGATTATACTATTTCCTGGCCCCAGTGTTCAGTGACCTCAGTTTTTTTAGTATTTGATAGAAATAGGGAATATGAAGTACACTGAATAGAATGGTTAATTAAGAAATGAGTTTAAGCTTTTCCGAATCTTTGATAAACCACCAAGTAAAACACAGTAAAATAAAGAATAAAGTATAATAAAATAATAAGAAACATTGAACGGATACAAAAAATTGCCAGGTCATGGTTTATATACGATATATATTATCTTTTCTTGAAATAAAAGCCGTTCACATTGGTTATTTAAAAAGAAAAGTAATTGACAGCCATTGTCAAATCACCTTTGTCAAACCAGTAAAATGGATAATTAATCCATCCAATCTCATAAAATGGAAAACAGGCCATTATAAACAATAAAAACACTGCAAACAAAATTTAAAGGTAAAATACAGGTACGTATTAGCTATAATTTAACAAACAAACAAAAAAAAAATTACTTCGCTGGTTTTAAAATATTTTGGAATGGTAACTGAGTTATTTTATATGCTTTAATTATTTATCTGGTAAAATACAATACTCATAACTTTATCGTACACAAAAATGACTATGTATGATGTCTACTCTCGCTCCGTCTTATGAATTTTTTAAATAGGTATTGTTTCTTGACTCTTTGAAAAATCTACAACGCTCCTAAAGAAATTTTCACTCAAACACGGTCTTAAATAGTGACAATCCGTTATTATCAAATGCTTAGCTATTTTTAATCTGTAGAGTTCAATTTTGTCTATCACCTACATTATTATTCTGTAATATAAAAATTATTAAAGATGGGATAAAAAATGCTCTGCGTACATTTAAATTTCAAACCCACGAAAAACAAAAGAATAGCGAAACAAAGGAGTTAAACCTAGTTGAATAATCGAAACACAATACATATTTGTATTCCGTTGTAAATAGACCGTCAATTTTTTATTAAAACAGTAGTAATTTAATTTAAAATTTTATGAATGCACTAAAAGCAAAAAACACTTATATTAGTATTGTGTCTGTTTGTAGAAACACTTATAAACATTAACAGATTTTTCCAATTGAAGATAAGATTCTTTAGTTTATTAAAAATATACATGTCACATCTACTTACTTTTTATGTAAAGTAAAGATGGTTTGAATCCTCGAGAAATACAAAAATTTCAGTCGAAAGAAGTTAAGCAGTCTAATCAACTACATATTTGAAAATTACCATTAAAATGTGTCAACCACCGATAAACTGGGATTAGCTTCTTTTTTATTCATGCCCATTGTAATTGCAGTGCTTCATAAACAAATATATTTCAGGAAAAACGCAACCATGGCTGAACCAAACACTGCTATGAAGTCTATATTTTGCTCGAAATTCGAGCTATCAGAAATTGTATTCTTCTGTGTTGCCTTCACTTTCATGCTAATAGTTCTATCACAAGCCAGCAGGATAATAGCATCTGATTTTATAAGGATGTAAGTGCATTTGCTTATAACCGAGAACAGACAAACATAGGGATTCACTTGATAGAAGGTGGAATAGCCCAGTGATATAACATCTAAATAACATGTGCTGTATTAATTTGATTTTGGGTATTCGTAAAGCTATGGACTCAAACCGAAAACCAGACACCATCTTACGGCTTTTCCGTCTGGATGGAATTTTTATATCCCTACCACCCATTTAGTGTTCAAAATTTCCAGGTGACGCCTAACTAGTTCCAGTAAAATTTTGTTAGTAAGTTATTTAGGTAGTAGTTGACCCAAAACCTCTGCAAGGAGGTAATGGGGAAATGGGTGAATTGGTCCCCGATAGAAAATAATAACAATAGGTAGGAGTTAATTCAGTTAGACCTGGAATAGATAGACCGAATGAGCGAATGCTGTCCTGACACTGAAACAAAACACTGTTTCAATGACGTCACAGTTTAAATAGATTTTGATGACGTAGCGACAGCCGTTGCTACTATGTTATATAATGTTACAGTTCACAAATTGAGTAACGCGAACCGCTCGCTACTGTGGGCATTTCTAACACTAGCCTCTTTGGTAACGTCTTTCGTAATTGATCTAGTTAAATGGATCTACACCTCCATTGTTATAAGCTAGAGATACGCTCTCGCGACAATTTGTGTCTTTTTCGTTTTGTACAGCGCACCAATATAATATTTTTTAGAATCCAATCTAAACAATATTGAGCTATTATTTTTAAGAATCATGTGTACTTTACATATGTTTTTAACAAACAATAGTCTTATGTTTATGATCTTATTATCTTTATCATTGTATAGTTTATAGTGAATTTAGTTGTAACACAGCCACTAGATGGCGCTGTTTGGTTTTTTTATCGTTTTGGATGGCGGTGATAAAGTATTTTATGGAAAATGTAAAACATCAAAATTTACTTCAATTTATTAATAGAACTATAAAACAATAACATTTGGCAGTGAAATCCGAGAGCTATAATTAAGTAAAAATTGGTGTTTACATTGTCCAATAAACACTTTATCACCGCGATCCAAAACGATAATTAAAGCTCTCCGATTTCACTGTCAAATGTTATTGTTTTGTTGTTCTAATAATAATAAGTATCCCTGGCATTTTTCGGTTTTGAACATTGGTATTGGTCCTTCGAAGGTGTTAAAACCTAGCGCAGTTGACAGTTAACTTATCTCAAATCTGGGCACAGTGGTGGTGTAATTTATTCACCCGATCGTGTAGTCCATCTTGGGTCTTGCCGTGGGGGAGAGCACCCCCTGGGATTAACAACAACAGTCATCAATCGTGAGCGACTTCAATTTGAGATAATAACGTCAACATCAACAGAGTTATTAAGTGACATCTGCAAAGTGTGTGTGGTGGTGTGAAATATCAAAAAAGAGCTGTAAGTACAAAATAGAAGAAGCAAATATTGAAGACTAGCTTTTGCCCGCGACTTCGTTCGCGTGGACTTCAGGTTCGTCTCGTCTAGTCTAGTAATAAGTAAGAAATACGGTAACTAAGCACTGCAGAGCCCTAATCATAGGTCTATAGGTAGCTACTGCAGTATGCTCCTATAAACTACATTTAACGATCTTTTTGGAAACACGTTAGCAAGCCACATAGAGCTGACTGTAGGCCTGCTACCTTCAAGGTTTGACCCTGCGATTTGTTGATCGTCATTGAAAATGCGACTTTTAATGGGAACTGCAGGCGTTTAAAATTTAATGGTCAACGGTCCAAAAACGGTAAAAGTCAACGTCTCGTTAAGTCTAGCTACTTTCATAGTTCGAGCTTTATTAGAGCTTTGGGAAAGATTAGACTTACGCTTTTGCGGCATAATTCTTAAGTACGTGTTGTTTCTATACTTCCAAAAAATACAGTACGGTAGTTATTGTTATGATTGTACTTTAATGCAATCCTTGCCTAAATAGGCATTAACCTATCTATATAGTAATTGAATTATCAATGAAGTAATTCGTTATAATTAACCTATTTATATAATTTGTTATAATTAACTGTAAGTAACCTATCTATATAGTAATTGAATTATCAATGAAGTAATTCGAAAAATGAAGTATCTTTTTGTACGTGTAACTCCTAACCAAAAAGAAACCTGGCAATAACTAACCTTAGGCCTATATTACTTAAAGTAGCCGACCATACGTTTTTATCAAATCGCTAGTGCCTTGAAAATTCGCAAAACGGACACAACCGTCAACGACGTCTGCCCTCATGCACCTACCTCGCTCCCCCCACGCCCCGTTCGCCTGGCACCGCTGCCGGTATTTATCACCGAAACGGTATTTATCGCCGAAATTGCTATGACTCTGCATTTTAAATCTGTGATATCTTCGAAAATATTTATTTAATTTACATGCTGTAAAAAGCCATATTGATCTTTATTAAATGCACAATGTATTTAAGATACTTAATTGGATAAGGATTAATACTGTATTGCTTAAAATCGCTTCGTAAATAAGCCATTATTTCTCGTACAAAGTAAAGGATAAAAAATGGTTATTGTGGGTTATTCCTAAGAGATAAACATATACCATCACGGACTTTTTTGGAGACCTTTTTAATTTGTACAGTACTGTAGTACACTGTTTTGATCTATCTTGTAGGATTCAGTCAGCGTTTGCAATGTAAGGGCAAAAAATGTGTTTTTTTACGACCTCACATTAGAAACCTCAAAAATTGTAGCCTATATGTTATTCTGATGTATAAGCTATATTGTGGTAAAGTTTCATTCAAATCCATTCAGTAGTTTTTACGTGAAAGAGTAACAAACATCCATACATCCATACAATTAGAAACTTTCGCCTTTATAATAGTAGTAGGATATAGTGTATTTCTGTCTATTTTACTATTGGTGAATTTGGACTTCGAGTATTCATAGTGAAAGTGAAACTACGGGGAATCTCTGCTGAAAGACTTAGATTGCTTGATATTAAGACTTATAAGTTACATAAAGTTAAGACTTGTAAAAATTTGTTATTTAAAATAGTAACTTGTTAAATGTTTACGTTAATTACTTTTAAATAATTATAGATTATTGAACTAATTTAGTAGATGTTCTTTTAAATTTATTGCTATTATATATTGAGTCGTTTTGTGACAGTTGTGGGTACCTACAGATAGATATCTTTCATAATGGCAGATAATAACACGTTCAAGTTCAAGAGGACATATTTAATAAAATTGAGAGAAGTTTTTCTAATTTTAAAAACTCCCCGAAGGAACGTATAAGCATAGGTTATTGTGAATCGCAATTAGAAACGTTAGAAAAAAGTTGGAATACTTTTTATAATAATCACCAGAAGATAGTTTTTGAATTAAAAAAAGATGTTCTCATACATTCGGATTATATGGTGAATGATGTTTTTAATACATGTGAAGAAAATTATTTAGACTATAAGGATAAATTATTATTGTTACAAAAATGTGATTCGCAACTAGTTGAACACAGAACTCATACTCAGAATAATTTCTGGACAATACTCCGAATGGCCAAGTTTTCGAGATCTATTTTTGTCATTAATACATAATGAGACATCTATTGATAGTGTGCAGAAACTTCACTATCTTAAAAGTTGTATTTCTGGGGAAGCAGAACAATTAATTAAACACATTCCGTGTACCGCAGATAATTATATGATTTGTTGGAATCAATTAGAGGGTAGGTTTAATAATAAAAAATTTCAAGTTAATTGTATTTTAAAACGCTTAGTGAATCAAAAGGTTTTGGCGTTAGAATCTTCCAGTTCCATTAGAAATTTACTGGACACAACAAAAGAGTGTTTGCATGCTCTTAAAAATTTAGGAATTGATGTATCGTCTTATCGTGTAATTGTTATATTTTTAATCTCTCAAAAGTTTGATTCAGAAACACGTAAACAATGGGAACAAAAAAATACTGAATTTTCAAATGACTTACCTACAATGAAATTGTTTGAAGATTTTTTAGTAAACAGATTCAGATCTTTAGAGTTTCTGGATATTAAATTCAAAGATAAACCTACTTTCACTCATGTTGCTACTAATAATAATTGTGTTTTTTGTTCTGAAAATCATAGGCTATTTAATTGTAAGAAGTTTGCAAAACAGGATGTTTCTATTAGACGTAATTTTATTCAGACTCACAACTTATGCTTCAACTGTTTTTCTCCAAACCATTCAGTTTACCAATGTTATCAAACTTCTCGCTGCCGTGTTTGCAAGAAAAAACACCACTCTTTGCTTCATAATCTTAAATCTAATCTCAATACGTCTGGTCAACCTGAGGGTAGTGTCGTCGCTTCAGTTGTTGAAGAACATACTTCTCAGGCTCAAAATGATGAATCAGAGTCTCATTTTGTTTCTTGTTTTTCAAGCACGAATCAAGTAACCAGATTTCAAGTATTATTGGCTACTGCTTTAGTCAATGTAAAATCTCAAACCAATAATACCCCGGTCGTGTTACGATCACTTTTGGATCAAGGATCTCAAGCAAGCTTTATAACAGACGCTGCTGCTCAACTACTAGGACTTAGAAAGTTTAAGGAGCCTAGCTACTTGTCAGGATTAGGAGGTGATCAGAGTTCTTTGTTAGTGTCAAAATACTCTGTAGTGTTAAATATTCAATCACGTTTTGATTCTGACTTTATTGTGTCAGTCAAGGCACATGTATTAAAAAAACTGACAACCTTTTTGCCATCTAAAAAAGTTTCTATTCCCAAGGTACAAGCATTTTCATCGATTCAATTGGCTGATCCTAATTTTAACACACCGAATAAAATAGACTTACTATTAGGTGCTGAAGTATATAGTCAAATTATTATGAAAGGTTTAATCAAGGATTTACCGCGATATCTTATAGCTCAACATACTAGATTCGGTTGGATTCTCTCTGGTAAGATAAAGGAAGATAAAATAGATAGAAATGAAGTTAATAATAATTCAATGGTTAATCTACATCTTTCATATTGGGATGAAAATGAATTATTAAGAAGATTTTGGGAATTAGAGACTGAAAAACCAAAAAAAAGATTTTATACAGAGGAAGAAGAAAGGTGCGAAAAGTTGTTTAAGGAAACAACTTCTCGTGATCAATTTGGTAGATTTATTGTAAAGCTACCATTTAAATCTGATACTCCATCATGTAAATTTGGTTCATCTAAAGAAATAGCTCACAAGCGATTTTTTCTGTTAGAAAAACGCTTAACGAGCTTAAGTTATCAACGAATACCTTAGCTTAGGACACATGGAGGAAATCAGTTCACTAGAAATTAATAGGCCTGATGCTGTATATCTTCCACATCACGCAGTTATTAGGCAGGATAAAGAAACATCAAAACTGCGCGTGGTATTTGACGCTTCTTGTAAGGGTCTGAATGGAGTGTCCTTAAATGATGATTTGATGATAGGTCCAACGTTACAGCCAGAGTTACGCCACTTAGTCATGCGGTGGCGTTGTTATGAAATTGCTCTCGTCGGTGATATTGTTAAAATGTACCGACAAGTGAAGGTGACCGAAGGCGACACAGAGTATCAACGCATATTATGGCGTGAAGATCCAAGTGATATTTTACGGCACTTTCGTCTTTTACGACTTACGTTTGGAACGTCTTCTGCTCCATTTATGGCTGTACGTACTTTGCATGAATTAGTTCGCGAGGAAGGTAAATCCTTTCCATTGGCATCTGAAAGAGTCTTGAATGATTTTTATATGGATGATCTCATGTGCGGTTGTCATTCAGTTGCTGAAGGTGTTCAAATTTACAAGGAAATCACTGAATTACTTGGTAGAGGAGGATTTCCACTTCAGAAAGTTTTTAGTGATAGTAAAGAACTGCTTCGAGAAATAAAAGCAAACAGTGATGATTCTCTGAAAGCTATTGAAATAAAAAATGACGAAGTCATTAGAATACTTGGACTTACCTGGAATCGCGAAGAAGATAGTTTTCAGTGTGTAGTTAAACTTAATATTCCTGAAACAAAAATAACAAAGCGCAAGGTCATTGCCGAGATCGATCGTTTATTTGATCCTGTTGGCTGGCTAGCGCCTGTTGTTACTAAGGCAAAAATATTTATCCAACAGTTATGGCTTTCTGGCATTCAATGGGACTCAGAGTTGCCCAAACCTTTGTTACAAAATTGGTTGGACTTTGGCTTGGACCCCTCATTGCGGCGGTCCAAGCCGAGGCCGATGCCCCCCTCGGGGCACCCTTGGTCTAGTCGCAAAACGCCCGGTTAGTATTCGTGGCTCCTCAGGAACACAATACGGAAAAGTCAATCCAAAAAAAAAAAAAAAAAATAATAATTAAAGCTCTCTGATTTCACTGTCAAATGTTATTGTTTTAATTGTTCTAATAATAATAAGTATCCCTGGCATTTTTGGGATTTGAACAATCATCTATATGTTTTCTTTCTTAAACTTAATAACAGGTAATTTTTAATACTGCCTGGTCAAGTTATAAATTCAAGCTATCTCAAAAACTTACTTATTACGTGAACCCCGGGCCGTAGTATTAATAATGGCCGGTCCTTTTGAATAATGCCCAGTCTATCGTTATACGTTGAGCATCACAGACACAAGTATATTACCGATTTCGGAAAATCTTTTAGTTCTCTACGAGTTGTCAGCTGTTCAGGACGAACTATTTTATATGTAGGTGTAGAAGATATTAGGCTGCTAGAGGCAGAGTGGCCTAATAACAATAAAACTTAGGCCAACCAACTTAGGCGAAAATAAATTGTACTATTATTTATGTAAGAATTATGTTAACAATTTTAGTTACTATGTAGGTTAAAAATTTACTGTATAATAAAAAATGTTATAAAAATTGCAGTTAGGCTACTCTGCCTTCAGCGGCCTCATATGTCTATGCATTTCTCATATAACTTGTTATTGAAATATTCGTACTAGACTAATAAAAAGACGCATAGTAACTTATTTTTCATTTCAGGTGCTAACTGATGCAGAAATATCCAACCAGCAGAGACCAAGTATTGGGGTTTTCTTTAATTCTATTGATGTGCTTCGCGCTCTTGTTCATAGCATGCAATGATGCCTGTCGCAAACACTTTCATACATATTAAAGTTCTATAGCTTTAACGTGCTTTATTTCTTGTGTAATAAGTATTAAATTCGCATAATTTACTTTGGTCTTCCTATATAATGATTCGTGACGTCATGATTTTTATGCTAATCATTTTATATTTAGTAAATATTAGTTTATTTAATTTTTTTTTATATTGCATTTTAATGTTAAGTTCAAGTTCAGTGTACAAATAAATTTTAGGTTCGATTAAAAATAGGCCATTAATGATCAGGCTGCTAATACTAGAGAAGAATCCAAAGGAAATTTAGTAAAATTGAGAAAATTATTCATATTTGAGAGTTACTCTTGTGCACGCTGCAAACTCGGTTTAACATACCAAAGAAGGTGTGCAAAAGAATTATTGTGTATTAAATAATTTTTAAAAGTCCGCAGCAGTATAAGTCTATCTTTTAAGATTAACTCGGCGAAAATGATTTATACCATTACGTGTGTAAAAATTATGTTAACAATTTTCGGTCACTGTCCTCTTGTCATGTTATCATTTTTACGACTATGATAATATAAATAACCCAAGTATTAAAACTGCAGTTAGGCTACTCTGCCCCTAGCGACCTCAATTCATATATTCGCCTGAAACTAACCTGTTTAATTGAATTGTATTTAATAAACCACGCGCATATCCGCGGGGTCCAACTACTGTGTCAATTTTAGAAATATAGCATATACCATGCTTAAACCTGCGTTTTGCCATCTGCAACGAAGTGTCAAACGCGACTGGGTGAAGGTCAGCAGGTGACCACCACACACCGGTTTTGGGAAAATCATTTCATAACACACGCATATGCCATCAGTACTTTTAAAAAAGAAGCGTTGGGAATGACTACAAACAAAAAAATATAGTTGAAATTTATTTTTAAATTAATTATAATTACCTACTACTTTTTTTTAATTTTTAAGAAGATAATAAACTATTAAAAAATATATGAATAGCTTGATACCTGTCTCTTAACGATGATTCAAATTAAAATTCGATTATAAAGTGAAAAAAATACAACACGGGCGGGACTTGAACGCGCATCCACAGCTAGCTGAGTTACCATGACGCGAAATCGATTTTAATTTTTTTTTCAATATATAATCGATTTTTAATTTATATAGCGCCATCTTGTGCAATAACGCGTGAAAAATATTAAAGTATTCAAAGATTGAATTAGCTTTCTTGGAACCGTGAATTCAAAACTACCTCCTTCATGATAAAAAGGTGGTAATCGAAATACATAATATATTATTTAATTAGTGTTTTTACTACCGCTGCAATTCAGCAGTTGTGCAAATAAGCATACCAATATAATTCGCGTTTTAACCAGTTTTTGTTTTTTTAGTAATGTGGTTTTAGTATGAGCAACTATACGCCAATTTCCGCGCGATCTGTCCCTTTACTAGAGATGAATTCTGGGACGAAACTCCCGTCACTTACTAGAACACATCAATTGAATTATTAAATACAACTGAATACTGTCTATAGTTTACGCATAAATACAACCGAGCTTATAAGATGTTGGCCTTTCTCGTTCAACCTTGGCCCAGTCCGCGCTTTCCTCTCATGTCGTTGACTTGCCATTATCATGTATTGCGTTGACTCCACGCGACTTGCAACATTTAACTATGCCTAGAGATGGCTTAATAACTATTAACAGACAGCATCAACCGTTGAAGCTGTCTGTTGATATATATCTTTAGCTTATAAAAGTGAATTGTGTGTTTAAGACGAAAATGTATGTTAATTAATGGAGGTAACAAAGAAGACAAAAAAAAAGATTCTTTAAAATTTTAATGTAAACAAAATTATAAAGCTGAAGATTTGGTTTGTTTTTTTTTTTTGAACGCGCTAATCTCACGAACTACTGGACCAATTAAAAAAATATTTTGTGTTAGTTGGAGCAATTATCAAGGATGGCTTTATGCTAGAAAACTACGTCTTGTAGGAGCGGAGACATAGTGGGAATTGTAGAAAAAATGGGCAAAATTATTCGGTTGCAACATCCTCATATAAACTACAGAGAAAATATAACAAAGAAGAAATTTTGGTTTTGGCATATGTTTGTTTTGAACGTAAAAAGAAGCAATTGCGTGGCCTGTGTATTGTGTTTAGAATTTTTCAATGAAACTTACATCGTATTAACTACTCGTAAATTCACTACTGTTAATCTGTACTATAAAAAGACGAATATTGTATCGTAAAGGTAACTAGTAAGACAAGTCAACCAAACAATTATCTCCTTTTTTTTAAACTTCAAAACATGAAAACTCAAGCAAGACTACTTAAATGCCATACCTTTCACAAATATTTATTTTTTTATTATTTTTCCTACTTACCGACTTCATACATCAAGAAAATATTTAAAAATAACTTCTTTTTCAAAATATTTGATTGATAAAATAAGAGCAAGAGGGTTCGATTCCCAGGAAATAAAAATACGTTGCCCCAAAACATCGATAACCATACGCACTTAAATAAAATCAGTTAACTAGGTCAGTAACTCCGATGATGTCACAATACTTTAACGCAAGATTGTATAATTTGTCTCATTCTAACTTAAGTTTAATTATATTTGTTATCTCCCGTACAATGCGTTACAGTTTAATAGATACATACAAGTAAATAAAAAATCCTTCTAAAAATATTATCTTCAGTCTATTTTTTTCTACACCAAAGAGTTTTTTTTAAAGATAAGAGCGATGTTGCTTCCTAGATTTTTTATTAACAGACGGTGTTGTCAAATCGACTAGACTCTTTATAATATACAACATACTAACTTTAAAGAACGTTATATATGCGTATAGTATAGAACGGTTATCTACCTATTAACAAACATATGTTAATATGTAGGTACATTTCTAGTGAACTTTCAACATCTTTCTACACCGGTAAATTACAGATTAATATAACCTTTCTACATTGCAATATGTCAACGGCTGTGTAACTAGGCTGAAATTGAAGTAACTACATTACACTGCCTTTTATAATCCTTACTAATATTATAAATGCGAAAGTAACTCTGTCTGTTACTCTTTCACGCCAAAACTACAGAACGAATTTTAATGAAATTTGGTACACACATGGTCTAGACCCTGAGAAAGGACATAGGCTACTCTATTGCGAAAAGGGGGTTGTAAGGGGTTAAAAGGAGGGTGAAATTTTGTATGGAAATTCGTGGTTTTTGAAGCTAGAACAGTTAAACTTTCTTCTTTGGCTTTTTGGGAATATGAGTAGGAGTGGGAGTGGGGGTGAGGGTGTGATTGGGAGTGGGAGTGGGAGTGAGAGTGGGAGTTAGAGTAGGAGTGATGTGAGGTGAGAGTGTTGCGGCAAAGTAGCACTTACAACATATATTGGCTCCGATAAATGCGCAAGTCACTACTCCTCGCGAACGAAGTCGCTGGCACAGCTTGTATATATATAAGATCATATACATTTAATAAAGAACTACATTTTTCATCAAAAATCATTTCTGGTGAAGTACTTCATTCCTTTACAGCTGATAATTTATGAAATTTTCCAAAATTCGAACCTACGATCTCTTTATCTCTCGATACCAATTTGATCGTTAACCATGCAATTCCTTATCATAAATCTTAAATCAAAATTAATAGCGTTAAAAAAATAATTATCATTTCTGCAAATTCTGCATTCTGGCATTACAAGCAAAACGATAAATTTCACGAAACAATATAACGGTTCCAACACATTCGAAATTCTCACATCAAACTTATAAAGGGTTAAAAGTGTTTTATTTAAATGTCTACTACTCGCGTAATACGTATCTACAGACAATAAAAGACGATAATTACACATTTGTACAAATTTAAGGTTGCGTACAGCCCAAAAATGCACAAAACCATGTTGTTACAAAATATAAAACAAATCATTCGACCTTAATCTCTAAAATCTTCACGCAGCTGTAATTTGTTTCATTTATGTAATCATCGTGTAGCTGCAGTTTAGGAAAATGGCGCACGTTCGCAATGGCGAACAATGACAGACAATTATGTATGTCTAATATCAAAGTTGATCTGTTCTTAGCATTGAAAATTTAATACTGAATCTATTGTCACCATCTCGCTGGTCTAGTGGTAAGTAACAACTACAAAGAATCGAAAGAAAAGTTCGAATTTCAAACTAAAGTTACTTTCAACACTCCAGTTCCTTAGAGAGCGATTTAGCTGAAAGAGTGTGGTGGGTTTTTAAGCTATCTTGTTTATGACAGAGGAAATCTTAGGTCAGCATAAATATCAACGCTAAAGCTTATATCTAATGAGCGAGAGGTCTTGGGTTCGAATCCCAGGGAAATAATAGATAGAGACGAGGAAGAAGTCTGATAATAAAACTGATCAGTGAAGCGGACAAAGAAATATGTTCGCTCCAGGCCCCATGGAGGGAAAGGGGTACACTGTCTACTCCTAGATATAAAAAAAAAAGGTTTGGTCAGTTTCTCATCAATAAAAAACAAAAACTTTGACGTTACTTATGGCACTATTATTTTATTAGACGTTCGACGTTTATAAAGCTAAATGGTTAAACGTCTTGTCTAGTATTCTGTTAAGCGCGAAAGAAGAAGTCTGATAATAAAGCTGTTTAGTGAAGCGGACATATATGTTGCACAGACAAATATGTTCGCCCCTGGTCCCAGAGGGGAAAGGGATACACCGTCTACTTCTAGTATTGGAGTCCTAAAAAAGTATTGGACAGTCTTCATCATCAAAAAACAAAAACATTGACGTCACTTGTATTTTTAATATTCCGAATAATTTAGTAATATAAACTTCAGGTAGAATCCGCCATAAATGACTCAATAACCAATGACACCACATTTTAGAGTCTGTTTGAAAAGAACAACAAAAGTGGATGCCGAAATAAACCAAGTGTATCAAAATGTAATCGCTATGTAACGGTGGGCCTATACCAGAAGCACTTCATCATCAAAAAGCAAAATACCACGCGGCGTTGCACCAAACGCCAGTGCCCGTCGAACACGGCTCGCGAACAGACGCGTGGATTTTACATACGATTACAGTGCATGTAAGTACAATTGAAATATTTTTATATCAGCTATGCGATGCGACAATAAAATAACGCCAAGCGATATATTTACTTCAAATTCCGGTATTATTAGTTCAAATAAAAATATATGTATATATTTTTTTGCTAATTACAATACGATGTAATGTTCAAAATCTCTCTCAATGCGTTTTTTACTACATATATAAAAAAAATTCTAATTGTTACCGAATTAAACGGAAAAATATGTATTATTTGTTGATAATATTGTCTGTGGTTTACGCGTGTAGTACTCATTGTAAAATCAATTTTAACGATTTCAAACGCAATAAATATTTTTTTAAAATAAAATCTTACGTTAAGTAACTTCAGCTTCAGAAGTCATGGTCAAGGGAAGGGGGGGGGACTATATATTTTTTACACAATAGATTGTGTAGAGCACATAAAATCTATGCTCATAGTAGCATATTGTTTATTAAAGGCGGTTGAGTAGTTTTGACAAAAAATAACTTTGCACTTTACGACTAACATACTGTTGGCGCAAAAGAATATTTTTCTCTCAATAACGTCAGTAACGCGTCTTTTACCGAGGTGATATAATTATTTGACGAGACTGACGTACTTTACAAGTAATTTGTCCAATTATAATAATATTATACTAATAGATTGGTGTGTGTATTATGTAATTTAAATAATTACATTATATATATGTCATACAAATTAAAACAAAGTCAGGTTTTACCGGAAAGACTTTGACGAAATTTCGAGGAGTGTTTTCTTTACAAGAGCCCTAATTCTGTTTAAAGTAGTTACATTTTCGTTTATTTTCTCTGTGTGTCTATCTGTTTGATGTAAGGATAACATTTAATATTAAACCATCCATTTTCCCTACTGAGGCATACATTTTTCTGTATCCATCTGTGATCAAATAGATTAGACTTCTGTTTCTATTCATCGTTTCCGATGAATCGAACCCAGGTCCCCTTTTTTTACCAAAAAAAAAAAATTTTAAAAATTTTTTTTAGGAAGGCCACAAAAAAAATTAAAAAATTTTTTTTGTTGATAATTATTTGTTTTTATAATTGAGCAAGACAGACAAACATGCGGTTCACTCTATGAAAGGCCGTCGACCTATTTAGCCTTTGGGTAGTCAGGAATATATATATATATATATACTGAAAGCGAAATGAGGTTTAACTTAAAATACGATTTATTTATATTCCTCCCACCCATTTGTTATCAAACAAAAAGAAATATTAAATACATGTGGATCAGAGTTATAACCTGTTGATTAGAGCAATACATTGCTAACATTACAACGAGCCCGTAATAGTTATTTACTCTCGTTAATACTAGTAGATTTGCCCCAAGTTTTAAATAGATTATGCAGCTGAAACAGTAATAAAGTCACGAATCAAATGCAAATTATGTAACCACGAAAAATTATTTTATTACCCAAGCTATGTACCGCTTGCTTAAGACCACTAGGCGGGCACGCTTGCCCCGCAAATATGATCTTACTTCATACAAATTGTGAGTAACTAAATAATTTTGCAAGTGCCTTGTGAAATATTAGCTACGTTATCTCGACTCGGTCTGATGGGCTTACAACACATTATTGATTGATATCTGTATCGCATTTTCTTTGCATAATCAATAATAAATTAGATAATAGTTAAAATAATCAAGTTCAAAAGCCGGTAAAAATTTATTTAAAGTGTACTACTCGCGTGAACTACAAATAAAACTTATCTAATAATAAGTTATAAAATTTTGCAGCTACATTTTGACAAGCTTGTTAACAATCCAGACTTTAGTTTAAGCCTTTTTATTTATATTTCTAAATGTCGATACCCGAAATAGTTGTAGACCTACGTATAATCTCGCATATAATATTTGTCACCTAGTGGAACCCACACGTGTCCTCTTCTATAAGAAAACAAAGAAAATGTTATAGCCTGATACGAATTAAACATATTCATTGATAATTTTCAGTACCAGTAATAATTAACGCAAATTTTCTAAAAAAAAAACACAAATTTTTTTTTTTGTTTATTAAAGAGAGATAGACGAACGTGAGGTTCGCTTGAAAGAAGTAAGTTGAAAGTGATTTTGGACATGCTTGCTGGTCTAATGGTAGCGATGTATGGCTAATTATCGACGAGTCGTGGGTTCGACACACGCCAGATCCAACATATTTCTAATTTGTCACTTTATAATTTTTCTGTAACATGTTGGACTTCGTCTTGAACACTGGATATTAGGAATGTCGAAATTCTCAGGGACCACCACCGTCCACAGATGGCAGTGTAATCGTCAGCGCATCTTGTGTGCTCGTTAGCATAAGCAATATATGGGTTTATCGTTTAAAAATAGAATTTCAAGTCCAATTTATCTTCTACAGAATCCAGACATAAGCACAATGTCTCGCAGATTAACAAAACGACATCTGACACCAGCAGATGATTACGTCTGTCCCCTATCTGCTGAAACACAGGCAATCGCTGAAGAGCAGCTAAGGGAGACCGAAAACTCCAGGTCACAAGCTCTTGAAGCGCTGAGGAATTGGCTGGAACAGCACCCGAAATTCTTAGCTATTCGTATGGGTATGTCTTATGATCTAGTATATAGTTCTATTTTTTTTTTTTGTAGTATATTAAATTTTATGTCTCTATTGTAAACCATGTACTTAAAACATTGTTTTGATTTAATCCCACCAAACGTATTTAAAATAACTTATAATTTTCCATATCTCGACATCGTATGCTTTGTAATAGTTATCTGTAGTAACAGTAATGATTTGAGCTGTACGCTAGTTAGCGCATATATATAGCATAAAATAAAACATTTAAATGGTTCGAAACGCGAAATATTTGATTATTAGCTGACGACTTTACGTATTACTAGGATATATAATAAACTAGCTGTTCCGGCAAACGTTGTTTTGCCATATAAATAATTTCATCTATTGAATTGTAGCTTATATGACACGTTTGTCGGTTTACCATAGCAGTACCATCTATTGATTACTTAATCAATCCATTGTAACTGTCAATTATTTATAGACAAATAATTTGCAAGAAAATAAAATTGCGACTATAGTTAAAGATCTAAACTAGCCTATGTCTCAAGTAGGACCAGACTGCTCACGGTGTGCCAATTTAATTCAGTAGTTTAGGAGTCCATAGCAGACATACATCGTGACAAGAGATTTATATATATAAAGAAGATGTATTACATTAATATAACAGATAATAAAAAAAAACATCTACAAATTGTTCACATTTATTAAAATGAAAAAATATTTCATGCGTAGTTTACGGGAGTAGTACACGTTTAAATAAAACACTACGACGGTTTAAAACGCAAAATATATTAGTTTATTCATTTATTTTAATGCGAAAATGTTCGTACATAACATTGATTTTTTATAAACTTTCAAAGACTTGGTATACTAATGTTTAATATGCCGTGCTGTATGCTGAAATTCCTAACCAACATTCATTATTGTTCGTATTATAAAACAAAACAACATCATTAAAAAAACACTTATCAACGTGCAGACGTTGGAATTGTGAACCGTTAAAGGTATTTTATTTAAATGTGTACTCCTTACCTACACTGCTGATAGCATCACACTAGGGCAAAGATAAGCCTATATTTTTGTATACTAGTCGATCACGAGTAGGCGAAAACCGACTAGGTCTTTCTAAAGGTCGATATTTAATATTTATTTATGGGAATAATACGGCATCACAAATCACAATAGCGCTTACGTCTAGAGAATTTGCGTTTTATACTTACTATTTCCTCGACTGACATGATGGATGTCTTTTAACATTTCAGAATACTGTAATGTTTCGTATTTCTCAACTATTCTAGGTGTTTCGTAAGAAGATACGATTTTGAGGCATTTTTAGAGTTCCGTATTAGATTGATAAAAACGCTACTTTCAAGACTTCATTGCCTGTGATGGCTAAATAGTAGTAATTTTAAGGAATGGTGTTGCTACACCACTACGAAAACCCTCAAAACAAAACAATATCAATATTAAGGGGAAACCCTCAAAAACAAAAACGCGATTTTTTTTCTTTTTTACTTGACATTAGGTAGGCACTTAAAAATTTATTTTAAAAACTTAATACACCTATTTTTATGAGAATACGTGTATTAACTTATAACAAACATCACGACATAAATTGTATAAAAATAGTACGGAACCCTTGATACGCAAGTCACACTCGCATTTGTTCGGTTTTTTTACATCACAGTGATGACTTTCAATATCGTAACAAATATTGGTTCAACACTTGATCTTTGGTTTGGTATTTAATTTTAATAATAGTGAAGAGGCGACGAAATTATGTCAATATTAGTGAACTTCCGTGTTTTGTAGTTGCAGAATAATCTTATATGCCTTTTTACTAGGCTTTCTTCGTCGTATTTTAATTTAAGCCGCTAACATTTTATGAAACAACAACGAAATTAAAAAAATCAACATTTCTAGATATATATCTATTTTGCGATATTACAATCTATAAATCGTTTTAATATTTAGATTAAATAATAACAAGTCTCGTCTGCAGTTTGCGATGCAGCTGTCGTTACTTATAAGATTATCCATAAAAAATAAACCTTAACGAGACACTTTCCCACGCAAAAGTTAGAGACGAAAAGTGTTACAATTCCATTGAATAAGTAAGTATGAAAACTTGATTATTAACTAATGTGTCACAATATTTCAGATTCGAACTTCCTCCTACGTTTCCTTCGCACAAAAAAGTTCAGCGTGCCCATGGTCCAGGAAGCGATTGAACGTTACATATTGTTGCGACAATCTTGGGGCATCGCCTTCAATCAACTGGACTATAAATTACCAGTTATGATGGAGCTAATTGACCTGGGGTGAGACCTATGTGCAAACTTCGATATAACGAAACTTGCGTCATGCCGCCTTTGCATTGCTGTTACCCTGGTACTCGGATTCAGAATTAACTATCGTTTATTTACCGTTGTACCTCCTCTGTAGCTGGGCTCCCCACCGTTGGGACACATGCCGCCTATAAGGTTACACCATAACCAAGCTGGCCAAATGCCTATAATGCAAGATGTCAGCGATTTTTTGGTTCTAAGAAATGCCAGCCGCGTCATTCCTGTCAATGTCTTAAATATGTTCTTTGTGCACGACTAGGGAATCGAACTCCCCACCTCTCGAACGAAGGTGGACTGCACGTACCTAGACCAACCCGGTTTTACCATTACTTCACTACTGATCTGCAAAACAGCCACACAATCATGGGGCTTACTTACTACCCCTGCCCATAGTATCTAATCAACATGTGTTGTCGACCTATTTTGTATTTGGATATTCGGAAATCCACAGACTGAAACCGAAACGTGATTAAACTTTACGGCTTTTTCATCTGTGGACGGTGGTTTTCTCCTATTGACCATTTAATATTCAGATTTCCAGAGGAAGTTCACACATGCTTCAGAAAAAATATAATTTGATTAAATACTGTCTATAGTTTACACGAGTACACATTTAAATAAAATACTTTAACGGTTCAAAACGCGATATATTAGTTAAATCAACCGCTGGGTCCGACGTTTCGGATGCTTTGCAGCAGGTGGTCACGGGGAGACTCCGAAACGTCGGGCCGAAATTAAAAATAAGTTTAACTAATTAATCGCGTTTTAAACCGTTAAAGTGTTTTATTTAAATAATTTGATTAGAAAAATGTTGGACCCGATGGGGACCGAATACACGAGCCTGATTATTATTAGCAGTGCATTGCTACTGTTACACCACAATTCCTTTTCTCAAACCTTTACGAGCACTCATCAATAAACGTTTGCGAAACACTCAACACAAAAGTAAATATGTGTCATCACTACAAACGTATTTTTCAGTTTTTTTGTTAATCATGAATTATTTATATTGACAGGTACATCTTTGTAAGTCCGTATAAAGACAAATCTGGCCGCCGTGTTGTTATATACAGACCAGGTATTTATTATGTCATATAATAATTATAAGTATAAATTAATAGCTTAAGAGTATTTGGGAAAAATGTTTCTGTGTAATATTGAAAGCGATTTTTTGTAAACTAATTAATATGCTAAAATTATTTTATATGATCAGCTATTACCCTAAAAGGCACACTGCATAGTACATATTTAAAATGTTTTGTAAAGGATTAAGCTTCAGGGGGTATATTCTCAAAAAAATCTAATATCAAAAAATACCTTCGGCTTATGTCGGCATAGAATTGGCTCAACCTTGATACACAGAGCTTTAAATGAGAATAAATATAAAGATTCTGTCTTTATATAATATGCATATATTTATTGAAAATGTATATTTTAAGGTGTGTTTGACCCCTACAAATATACCAACCAGGATATGTGCCGAGTGATGGCTATTTGTTACGAAACTCTAATGGAGGAGGAGGAAAACCAAGTGCGAGGAATAGTTCACTACGCCGATGGCGCTGGAGTCAGTTTTCCCCATCTCACACTTTTCACACCAAGAGAGGCTGTGCGAATCGTTAAAAATGGAGAGGTAAAATGAATTAATCATTATATTCAATTCTATACGTAACGTCTCCCTGTGAACATGGCTGCTGCAAAGTAGCCAAACCGACGGGCCGTAGTTATAATAATTTTCAAATAAGTTTAACTAATAAATATAAAAAAGAAAAAAAAAAAAAAAAAAAAAAAAAAAAAAAAAAAAAAAAAACCCCAAAAAACCCCCCCCCCCCCAGAAAAAAAAAAAAAAATTTTCCAAAACCACTTAAAATTAAGCGACCCAACCGTCGACTTGCAAGTTAATCTTAAAAGATAGATATATACAAACAAACTCTTCAGCTTTACATATTAGTATAGATATAAAATTAATAACATGTCGTAATTGTTTTCAGAAAACTATTCCGCTGAGACACAAAGAAATTTATGGCGTAAATGTTCACCCTACTATCAAGTTTGCTCTTGATTTCGGAATGGCGCTGATATCCGAAAAAATAAGGAAGCGTGTAAAATTATATACAGCCCTTGAGGACGTTGAGATTGAGAAGAGTCTCCTCCCATCAGAGTATGGTGGAACCATGCCGATGAAGGAAATGATCGGTAAGTGGTTTATTACGAAGATAAAAATTAAATATTCAAATATTCAATACAGATGAAAAAGCCGTGAAGTTTAATCGCGTTTCGGCTGCAGTCTGTGGATTTCTGTATATTCAGCGTCAAAACGGGTCGACAGCACATCTTGTTTAGATGCTTCTGTATGGGTGATTTCACATACCGTCAATGCCATGATAGTCTGTCCTATATCATAACAAATATATGTGTCGATACATATTATGTTACAATACAGGTTGCGTATGAGCAGTCATTAAATACAATAATATGTTCATCTTTCAAATAGTTTATGACACGAGCAGTATTTGAACCTACTACAATTGTGACTGGGTCACGCTTATTTGGTTCGATATGTAATGTTTCTATACTTCAACAGAGTTATGGAAAGAAGAACTAGCGAGTAAACGAGACATTCTTCTGCTAAATGACAAAATGTCAGTCCGCCTAGAAATGTACAGCGAGGCGGCGCGAGAGGGCGCTATATCCGCCTTAAGAACGGGCGCAAATACATGCGCGGGCGCAGACGCCGTTGGTGATGCTATGCGAGGCCTTACTGGCAATTTCAGAAAGCTTGAAGTTGATTAGATTATAGATAGCTTTTAGGGTATCTGCTTACTACACCGAATTAACTATATCTTATACTTAACAACGATAAAGACATATTGCAGTGCAGTGTACAAACATCTTTATACCTATAACTTCATAGCAACCTGAATAGATTTTACATTACATTGTACTATAGGTTTAATGATTAAGTCCTTTTAAACTAAATGCTTTTAAAATATGGACTATTATATAAAATGACAGTGTATATAAAAAAAGTCATGACGACTTTAAAATTTAGACGACGCTGTGCCTTGAAGATCAATACTAAACAGATAAAGAAGATTTTTACATTTAATACGTAGTCAAATGTTTATTAATGTTAAGTTTTATTGCCAAGTATTACTTAAGGTTATAAGGAAATAAATAAGAAAAATATTAGCTGTTTATTATTTTCACATACAAAATGATTTAAATAAATCAGGCTTTATTACTACAACACGACGACGAAGTTCAGTTAAGCTTCCGTCCCTTGTTTCAACAACAATTTTAACGGTTTAAAACGCGAAAGTAGCAATTTACTGATTTACAATCTATTTTAACTGGCCCGACATTTCAGCTGCTGCAATAAAATAAATTGTAAATAAGTTAATGAATACATTTCACGTTTCAAACCGTAAAAAGGTGTATTATATATGCTACAGACGTTACTGGTAAGTACTAACAGCTGTGTTCCGATACTGATAAACAAAGTAATAGGGTATAAGACACAAATAAAATAACAATTACAAATTGCAGACTTGTTTATTTAACTTTATTTGCGCCAATAACTGAATAAATAATAAAATAAAATATGCACTTGTTTTTTCAAAAATTAATATATGAACTGTACTTTTTCTAACCTAAAGTATTCGTAAAATATCCGACACAATGCTAAATTTTAAACAGCTATACAACTTAAAAGAAAAAGAGTTAACGTCCTATTAGTGTTATACCTTAAAACACAATACTGTTTAATGTTAATAGTGTTTATTTTATTATCTTGTACTTATATTGTATATTCTGAAAAACAAAAGGCAACTTGAAAAAGGGCCAGTTGTTTGTTTTTTCAGTTGATTCTGCTAAGGAAAAATATCAATAGTTGCTTCTAAAATTAATGAACTATTATTAACATACATATTTTAACAGACAATTATGTATTTAAAAACTATTATAATTTATTGTTTAATTCCAAGCAGTGTGGGAATGGTTTAAACATCATTCGTGTATATTACAACAATTGTTATAAAAAGTAAAACGTTCATTGTTTAGTTTACATTTTATATTATAAAACGCGTATACTTAAACATTTATATGAGAACTATGTAGTCTTAAACGTAACGGTAATACAACAGTTATATTTTGTCTAGTAAAGGATGACTAGGAGGTAGTTATAAAATCCAACATAGGGCTGATGAGTATCGATATTTTTTTTGTTTTATATATAAAGAGACAAAAGGCCGAGTGTTTTATTGTGAATTGGGAGAAATAAATATTTTGTTATATTCTTTAATAATAATTAGTTTATTGATGTATTAGATACGTCATAAAAGACGAAAAGTCATCAATAAAGTACGGTTTGTTTTGTAATACATTTTATTGCAAAAAATGCAATAATTCATAGATATAAACCGGCGTACTGATCATCCTATACAAGACAAGGTATAATAATTATATAATACTTTATTGTAACGACATGTTAAATCTTAAACAATCAAATTAGAATAAGCACTCTTGTATAAAGTAAATAATTTTTATTTAATTACAATAAGACTCATTTCTTACTATAAGTGTTGGCACTTGGCTCAGGTTCTAAAGCTATTTTATTAATTCTTAATAAGATAAGTAAGGTGTACTGTCAGATTGATGAGAGTACAGACTTAATTAATCCATCCTGCAAAAAATTGGAGTCAGTAAAACTTGATACTGTCTATAGTTTACGCGAGTAGTACACATTTAAATAAAACACTTTAACGGTTTAAAACGCGATATATTAGTTAAAACGTCGAAATGTCGTGCCTAAATTAAAATCATTTTCAAATAAGTTTTACTAACTAATATATCGCGTTTTAAACCGTTAAAGTGTTTTATTCAGTATAACTAAACCCTAAATTAAATACATCTATGCATACTTAAACGCAGCTAATTCCATACTTATAACACGCAACAATCATACAATTAACTCCCTACTATTTAAATAACAGAATACTGTTTGTCTTTGGCACAAATTTTGACACTTTGGTTCTGTATCCACTTCTATGGTCGTCATAGACAGGGGGTTGTTGTTTAGCTTATGCCCTAGAGGTATGTTCAAAGAGTAACTTCACAGCTGGGATACCGCGATACCTTGTAATTGCTAAGTAAAAAAGGTGTAGGAACTAATTCTACGCCTGGCCGAGAATGGAGTTTGCGATTAAGTGTAACGCTCTCAACGTCTTCAAACTCTATCGCCACTGGAAAACAAACATACGTTTTAATCACTTACTAGACTCAATATATCATTAAGTTTGCGCTTTTGAACCTACTCTTGTCAAATTGCTGGGCACAAATCTACTGGCTTATAGGAGAGAGATCCCATCCCATCACTCTACTCCAGTGCACTGACACTTGAGTAGAGTCACTTTTACTGTCACTTTTTGATGTTAACCGAAAATCTCTAAGTGCACCGAGACACCTGTGTCTCGGTGCACTTAGAGGTAGTAGGGGTTGAAACCCAGGGGTTTTAACCCCTACTACCACAATACTGGTTGTTACCAGAATGACATAAAATACAAATATCGAACTAAAAAAAGAGGGCCCCCCATAAGACAAATGGGTTATTGTAATCATATATCAGTTTCAAGATAATCTGTATATTTTGTATGTTACCCGTCAAAACCAGATTCTGTTCTACTCGTACCTGGCTTAGGCGGTCTCGGCAATGAGTGCGTATTCCGGGGTCAGACCCAGTATTGGTTACGTCTCAGCATGGGGTTTGTTGGTGCGACACCTGGTGTTCGGATTGGATATGCTGACTCGCTGGCCTCGTAACTGCTCCAATCCTCCGCCTGAAAAATGTATATAATAAAATAACCACGCATACCTACATAGGATTATAATTAATAGAAAAAGAAAAATTGGAAACAAAAGAATTTGGTTTGTACCCTTCACCCCGTGTACTAAATCTACAGTTAAGGCCGGTACCCCCACAGGTCACCTTTGGTCTAGCCGGAAACACACCAGAACATCCAATTTCTATTAACAGCCCAGGGGCAAGACATGATATAATAAAAAAATGGCTAGCTTTTCTTAATTAAATTTCAGAAATAATGTATGTAAATAATATTGCACAATGCTGGTATTGAGTTGACCCCAAGACCCGATAATAATTATCCAAATATGAATAGCTGTATTATACGTAACATGGAGCAAGGTTTTATCGTAAAAATGTAATGTGATTGTAACACTATCTTATATATAGGTTTATAGATGATCTATACTTACATCAGTATGATCGTCAGTACCGTAGGGGTACCTGGCGTTTAAATCTGGCAACACAGCGTCCGCTAGTGGCGTCACTTTACACGCTACGCTTCCGCCAGAGGGCAGGGGCGTGCTCGCTCCGGTATGAACTGATTGGTCTGAAGACACATATCTGGGGAATCCAACGTTTTTATTAGTACATTGTAATAATTTATTTTGATCTATACATAACAATACTAATCATAATAAGAGTAGTCGTTACCATGGCAACCGCTTCTTTCGATTTTTGAATATTTTCTAGATGACCTAGTGTGTATAATTTTGATAATCATTTTCAAAAACTTTAATAAGCATATTGCTACTTTAATTATATACAACAGTTTCATTAAAACCCTTAGGGTCGATTTCAAAATTTTCCACTGTCGTTATACCATATACTAGGCGTATTGAATCTCAAGAATTATTACCTTTTAATTGGAGGTGTCCCTTGTGTAGGAGACGGCATCAAGTGATCGGGGGGTCGGGGTAATGGTATAGGTGCAACCGCACCCTGGCTCTGACCATGAATCTTTACTAATGCGTTCTGATCCCTCATTAAATAACGACGACACTTCAGGATACCAAATATAACAATTATTGCGAGAAGTACCCCTAGAAGCGCCATAAGTATCATCATATAGTAGGAACCCGAACCGCGGTTAGCGACCTGAAAGATATAAAAGTGGAATTGTATTTCCCCCAGTGGAGCATCGAGCGAACACTATTCTGTGTCCGTTTAATTGATTTTATAACTTTAGTAGTCGATCAGACGGATGAGATCTCTGCGCACACCTTGTTTGTAGCATAACCGAGACCTCAAATATGTTCGAGGAAGACAATTAAGCATTTTGATTATATATTATTAGAGAAATAATTAGCATATAGTTAATTGAAAAAAAAATAGTTACCGGCACTCCCTCATGGCTCTCAGGATCATTCGGTCCCGGCAGGTCTTTTTTTAGTCCATTCCCGATAAACATCCTCAAATCCGCCGCCGCCGGCTGGAATATAGTCGCAGCGAGCAGAAAACTAAACCTATCCTCCAATCCGTTCAATTCGTACGCTCTCTTCTTAGTCACGTAATATATAACGCCGGCTTTCACATCCTCGTGCGTGAAATAGGCGACCTCGCGTTCCCTGGCGCTCGTCTTTTCCCCGGAACTACGAATAATCTTCTTTATAACACCGTACTTTGGTTTCGCTATCAACGTATATACGGGATCACTAGCTGTCAGTTTTGCTAGTTCCGTCGCGTCCAAATTCTTAATCGTCAATTTCGTTTTGTCCCTCTCCACTTTCACGTCATTTAGCGTCATCAACGGTTGAACTGTCACATCTATGATAAACGGTGGCGTTGCATTACTGTTGTGTACGTACGCGATTAGTTCGAAACTATCATTAGCGACCGTCATATCATTTTGCATATAAATAACCACTTTATCGATTAGATCCTTTTGCGAGAAGTAGTTAACTGGATTACGACCGACATATATCATGCCGTGTAATGGCTGTCTGGTTATGTTATACCAGACTTTAGATTTCATAGCGTTAGTCTCTATATAAATCTGATCTGTGGTAACGGTGGCTACATTTGAACCCTGCTGCAAGAAGATTGGGTGGGACGATGTAGCGTTTAATATAACGGGAATGATATCTATCGTGAATACTGTGTAAGTAGGCTTGAACTGACCATCCCACACTCTGAAATAGAAGGTAGCAGTTTGCAACATTCCGGAATGTTCGTAGATAATTTTCCCATTGTTTATATCTTCTTGGGTGAACTTGTTAATGGATTGGGCTTCGTCTATCGTTTGGTTTTTATCTAACATGACGATTCTTCCTTGAGTGGGACCGCTAATAATATCGTATAGGATTCCCGATGGACCGGTATCAGCGTCTTCAGTTAACAGATCGTTCTTTGTTATAGTATAGTTTTCACCGTGCACCACTTGAATTTGAGGCGAATCAGTCAATAATCTGAAGGGTTGATCGTTCAAAGGCAGGACATATATCGGTATTGTAACGTTGCATAGAATCACATAATCCGGTAACAGGTATAACGTCATGTCGATTTTGTCTCGCAGCGTGTCTGAATCGTCATGCGTGTAGGTCACGACTCCGTTTTCCAGTTGCGCTTGTGTTAGCGAGGACAATGATGGTTCTAATTCACCATGTGCTGGTAGAGACCACTGCGCTTCAACTTGTGGTTGCCTTAACCCAGCTTGGTTCTCTAAGTACATAATGACGTTAGTTACGTTAACAACTATTGCGACGTTACCGCCCTCTTGAACTTTAATTTGAGGTATATTTACGTACTTCGCAAGACCACCGGATGACACGGAGATGTCTATGTTGAAAATTTGGTCGGCCACCGGATTAGCTAACGCCGCTTCGACGGAGAATATGAAAGAATCATTTGTATGTAAGTCGGAGAACGGATGCGTATGCTCGTAATACACTAGAGTATTATTTATATCCTGTTGCGTGAATTGTTTTATTGATCTGTGGTGGTTGTCCCCGTTTAACATGATTAATCGACCCAAGGTTGGTGCTCTCTCGATTTTGTATATAATATTTCGCGATGCATCAGAACATTTTGCCATCAAATGGTAGTTGTTGAGCGCTTCTCTCATAAGCGGAAATACGCGTAGTGTGTGTTTCCGGGCTAGTTTAAGTGAAACGGACTTGGTTGTTATTAGGAACGTTATTTTCGATAATTCGTGTAGGCCGTCTGTGACGTTGAATATCATTTTTCCTTTGGTACCATCTGCGAAATGAATAAAAAACCAATAAAAGTAACATTAGCGAGAGACATCTATATTGAATCGAATTGTATTTTGTTTTTAATAGAGGACAAAATAGAGTGTTTTACTTCATGAATTGTGAGGTAACCCAATTATACAACGACTTAGAAAAGTTAATATGTTATGGCTTGTTCAACTGATTCCTGTTCTAGACAGATTTTTTGATATTAGATTTAAGATTCAGACTTTCAGACTAAGTTTGACATTTTTTAGAAAAAAGTTCATTTGAAACATCTCGGACCCGGTAGGGATCGTATCCGCGACCCGCTGTTTCTATCCTTTTATCTTTCTATCCTAAAATTAGACCAACCGTTTCCGTTTTTAACCGTTAAGTATTTTTTGAGCCCACAAGGGCTAAAATACTTACTCACAAGATCTGCAGTTTATGCACTAGAACATTAAGATACATAGGAAAAATAAACGTTACTTACTCGTATGTACAAAGATGACTTTTCGACTGTCTATGTCGGCTTGAGTGAAGTGATAAACGGGTGTTTCCAGGTTACCACGTATAGCGATGAATCCGGATACAATATCTACAACTCGTATCGTAACGTTCTCCAGTGGTGTATCAATGTCGTTGACGTCTGAAATAAAATTGAATAATATCGAGATACAGAGAAAATAAGGTATTTTCATATTTAATAGTTGTAATAGTAGTTAGTTGTATTGTATTGTTGTTATGAATTCGACCATCGAATTAAAAAAACGTCAAATCTTAAATGAATGACAGTAGGTACGCACATAATTCTCGTATTTTAATACTAGCTGTGCCCGCGACTTCGTTCAAAAGAAAGAAAAAACAAACAATGAAATTGTTCTAGTTTCAAAAACCACTAATTTCCATACAAACTTAAAACCCCCTTTTCGCAATAAAAAATATAGCCTATGTTCTTTCTCAGGGTCATCTGTGTATCAAAGTTCATTCAAATCCGTTCAGTAGTTTTGGCGTGAAAGAGTAACAGACAGACAGAGTTACTTTCGCATTTATCATATTAGTTTTAATATCATTACACGCTTAGTACTTACATAATTCATTTCTTGTAAAAGTGAACGTCCCGCCTTCCCATACACAGAGGCCAGTATTCGCCGCGACTATTGGAGTTTCATCATTCACAGGAACTATGCTAATCGTCACTCGGAAAACTTCGCTTTCCTTTCCGTTTTCAGTGACTGCCACAAGCTTCATTAAATCAAGTGATTCTTCTGAGCCGTCGTTTACGTACTGGAAGGAATAAGTTCAAATTATACACGTTTTTCGACAAAATATTGAAACAAAACTCTTTTTAACGGTGTATAGCAAATGATATGAATAAATACGACTCGACGTTTACGTTGTGGTTGCGGGGGAAAAAGATTTATTAAATAGTACTGTAGATCTTTTATAATTTAGGAATCTTTTAATTGGCAACCAATTATAGAAAAATAAACTATTAAAAAAAACATAAAGGAACTTGTTGCTATAAATCCCAATTTTGTTCCCTTCCGTTCTGCTTCACTGATCACGCGTAGTTGATACAATTTTTGTGTCTGCCTGATGGAGACTATTGTTATATTTACTGGTTCGAATCCTAATCTGTGATATCACAATATTACGTTATACTTAAATTACGTTTACCTGTATATCCCCAGTATTCAACTTCAAAACCGGCAACAAGGTCAGTTCCTGCTCTCCCAAACTGATTTTACCGAACTTCGGTTTCTCGACAACTTTGTATGACACAACTTTGCCTCTATAGTACTCCGTTACTGTCCTAAACATATCTTGCTTAATGCTCACCGCTTCCCCTTCAATTACACTTATATTCGCCGACATTATATAAAAGTGTTCCGGAATAATTATAACTAATAATTCCAAGGATCTTAGCCACACGATTCCGTTGGTCACGTCCATCTTAATTTTGTCTCTCGTTCGATTAACACCAGACTGTACGTAGACTAGACGGTTCGCGTTAATGACGGATTGGTCGAAGACCGTCGAATGCACTGGCTCTTCGTAATTTTCTAGTTCGAGACTTCCAGGCGTGTTTGTGACTTCTAGCCAGCCGTAGTAAGGTCCTTCGACCAGTTTATATACTATATTTGATGGTTCGATTTGCGGGTGCATTACCTTAAATAAAAATTAAACTAATTTAATGCGAGGGCGTGTACTGGTATGAGTTTTTGAACACGCTTTTTTGTAATATATGTTTGTAAACAATTAAATGAATAATTCAAATTAAGCTTTTGTATTTGAAATTCTAAATTTAAATTTAATAAAAAGAAATCTAAATGATGTTTAATGCTACTTAAATGTTTTTTTAATATACATATGTATTTGTTAAGGGCAATTTGAAATAGTAAAAAAAAATATAGTGTAAAAAATGTTTTTATAATTTTTTGACTGGGTTTTCCTTAAATTAATAAACGCTTATAAGTCAAGTGTTATATATCCATATATAATATTGTTTTTATGTATTAAACGTAAGCTTTTTAATTGTATCCTTTAAGAATACTAGAACATTCATATTTAAATAATAGTTATTTATTTTTGTAACAGTTTTTGAATGCAGAAAAATGTAAGATATATTACCTCCAAAATGTCACGAGTTATATTAACGCTAGTAGATTCCTCAACAATCAAAGGTTTGTTTGTCAAAACTTTTAACGGCTCCCAATAACTGGATGGATATATTTTTATTGGGTAAATCCCTTCGCCCCACGCCTCCAAGCACATGACTTTGAACCTAGAAAAAATAACACATGTCTCATTATTTCATTACAAACGTGAAATACAGCGCGAACTATAACGGATATTGTCTTCATATATTCAAAATCAATTTTGGATTGAAAAAAATCCGCGTTATTGCTTTCAACGCTGTGGATGTCGCTTTAAACCGTTTCGTAAAAAGTTTTTCAATCTCGAAACGATTTTATATGTATATAATGTCATATGTAAAAATGTAAAAAATTATATTCTGGTCCAAAATAGGATTACTTCACTTAATTTATGTTTACAAACAATTTTACTACATACTAACAAATCAATTCCACTAAATTTTTTTTTTTTAATTGCGCAACGTATTTTCGGATACTTTTCTGCAACCGTGGGCCAAGATAAATCTTAATTATGAATTTTTATTATTTTTATTATAAGTCGTATTCGGACGTGATCTATAGACAATATTTAAACTAATGTCGATATACTTACCTGAAGGCGTCTGTAGGCATCTTGGGTTCTCTATGCCTGTACGACACTCGGCCGGCTGCCACGTCCAACTGCGTAAAAGTTATAACTCCCTGACCCTCACCGACTTCGATGGCTCCATGTTTCGGCTGTTGGATCATTTCATAACGGATATCCTCTTCTAAGCAGTTCATATTTGTATCCACCTAAAATTTAATGATAATTAAATATACATATGACATTTTCACAAGAATCTTGATGCAAAAAGGCTAAAAACAAGATTTTTATTTATGATAAGAGGACTTTGGATTTACATGATGGATATAAGCACCATATACTGTCGACTTATATACGGCGTTTGAAATTCAGAAATCCACAAACTGAATCGGACGATGGTTCCGTTTAATATCAATTTCGTTTAAGAAAAAATATATTGAATGGTAATACGTCAGGCCCTGTGCGGATTCGACCCACGACCCGTTAATATTATCCATAATTGATAATTACTCAATACTTACTTGCATATCCCTAGTGGTAATAACAACAGCTTTGCCGTTTTCAACAATAGATCCATTTGAGGGGAACATTCTTATAAATGGCGGCGATGCCTGCACTTCCAAGTTTCCATTTACATCGAATAACCCATCAGAAACCCAAAAAGCCAACTTCCCATTCTCCTTACCCTGGTGTTTGAATAATATGACGTTTTTATTTATATCATCTTGAGTGAATTGAGCGATTTGCTCAGAAGGATTATCAGCTCTGAAGATGCCACCATTAGGCGGGTCTTTCGTAAACCTTTGAACTGTATATGTTATATCCGAGGGTTTTGTATCGAGATCCAAGTCGGTATAACTAAGATCTCTCGCTGTGATAAGTCTAGCGCCTCCGTGTACTATATGAAAGACATTTTCGCTTACTCTAACTGGGCTGTTATCGTTCTTTAGTATTATATCAATATGAAATACACCAACATATTGGAAGTCTTCCGGTTCTGGACTCAGTGCCATAAAATGGAAGGAATCGTGGCGGCTTTCAGAATCGTCGTGTGTATAATAAACTCTATCAGCGTTCAGTTCTTTCAAAGTAAAGTACGTCGTGTTATCTCTGAGAATCTTGAAGTTGTCGGTAATAACCTCAATTTTTCCGTGCTTCGGTAGATGTGTTATATTGAATACCAGGTTTGTTACAGAGTCGGTTCTAAAATTGAGATGGGTGGCGGGTATCGCCATTCTAGAACCTTCCATCACTTGCAATCGTTCCAGAGTGGTTCGGAACCTTCCAGAATGGTCTGTGGGGGAGGGTCCTGGAATATGCCGTATGGTCATAACACCTGTCACGTTTTCACATTCAGCAGCGCTCACCATGAACGTAAACTCATCCTGTATGTGAGAATATGCTCTTCTGTGAAGCCTGTACCATAGTTGATCTGTATCTATGTTTTGTTGAGTAAAAGTGCTGTATATCTGCAGGTGATGAGAACCAGCTGATAAATGTAATATGCCGTACTTCGGTGGTTTTAAAACAGTAAATGTTATTTTATCCCCAATTAGTGGGAGCGGTCTAGTATGGAATTTTAGGTGGTGCGAAGATATGAAGGCTTCCCTCGTGTTATTTAGAAGTAACTCTTCGTTAATCGTCTGATACAATTCGAGTTTGATAAATGTTAATCGAAAGTCGTATAGTGTGTTCGTTCGTATTGTTCCAACTGATGCTTTGAACTGTAAAACGATAAGAATTTTTTATAAATACTTATTATATCTTCTTATAATATATAAAATTATCGTGTAACAGTGTTAGTTACCATACCTAATCGGGTAATATCTATTTTTCATATCCTAAGTGATAAGGCTTTAACTAGAGTATGTTTAATCTATAGTTAGTATATATAGTTCCAATATAAAGTAATACTTTTTTAACAGAACTAATTTTGTTTAATGTTACCATGGCAACACCACAATACGATATTACAATTTGTTTCTAAAGATTTTATATTATATTTACCTTGAATTCGTCATGCGTAGGATTTCCCAATAGATGCATATACCTAACCCGTCCAAATGTCACCATTTCACTAGTGAAGGAATCCACCGTTTGCCATGTTCCGTCTAATACTCTTAATCGTTCCACCACACCGAACTGGGGAGGCTTTACTATATCGTATCTGGAAAAGATTTTATTTTAATATTAGCGCTCATTTTTACGTAAAAGAATAGAGAAAGTAACATTATTATTTTTCTAGAACAATCCGAGACAATGAGAGACATTGTGAAATCTTATTTCCGCCCGTGGGGCATGGGCCGAACACATGTTATGTGTCCACTTCAATGATCGGTGTTATTTACAGGTAAGTAGTTGATCATACTTCTTTTTCTATCCACGAGATTCGAATCTACGATCTCTCGCGCTTAACGCAATGCTTGGCAACCCACTTAACAATTTAGCTTCAGAGGTGCTTAATATATCCTCTCGCAAATGAGAAAGGATTTTTAGAGGATATCAAACAGGGAAAAAGGGACCAATGCACTTCTCTGAGACACGACTGTCATGACTTCTACTATAAATTAGAAGTATTTAGATTTTAAAAATACATAAGGGCGGTATTGAACCAACATTCACTTTTGTGTGCGACTATTTGAGCTCTGCATTTTTTTTTATTTTTTTATCTATATAAAGCCATGAGAGAATGAGGGGAAAAGTTTTTTTTCACTATCTTTACATCCAATCTCTGGACTACGGGAAAATTTCTTAGGATAATTCAAATGTCCTTTAATGCCTTTTAACAACTCAGAACAACTATAAACTATTAAAATATACATAAGATTTTAAACGTTTACTTACTTAACTTGAACGTTGGTTTCGTCTGCGTTCGTAGTAAATGTAAGATTGTCAGCTGTTATAATCGCGTACGAATTATGCACTAATTGCAGTCCAGTGTTATTTATTAGACGTACTTGTAGTGGCACTATTGATATTCTGAGGACGCCGGGACTGCTAGTCTCTATGCCATCTGATACCTGAAATAAATCGAAAATTATTTTGGTTACTATGGCATTCAGAATAAAAATTTAACACAACATAACAGACTAAACAGTAAACTAAAAACAAAAGATAATATTGACCTCATGGAAAAAAATACGTGTTTAGATTTAGTTAAATAATAATTATTTTAAATATTTTTATAATATAACGAATTGAATTGAAAAGGATTTAATTCTTCCAAAATCGTAATAATACAAGACGAAGTTATCCGCGAAAAAAGCATATAAACTAATAGAAGGAAAAAGCATTTTTTTTATATTTTTGAATTTATATTTACAATATACAATAGTTACCTGTAGTGTAAGACGCAAGGAAGTCTTGTTTAATTGCTTGTCGCTCGTAGTTCCGTGAACGTATGAAATAATGCCTGCATCTATATCTTGTTGTGTGAAAGAATCAACTGGTTGACCAGACATTTCTATGTGTCCACTGTAACAATATAAAAGCTCGTGACTACAAGCTGTATTCATATATCTCATACTTTGTGTTACATTATTTGGAAATGGTTATTATAAAGTAGATGAATATTTAAATAACAATGCTTTTGTTTGAAGGTATTCGTTCTTTTAAATAAAACACTTTAACGGTTCAAAACGCGATATATTAGTTAAACTTATTTGAAAATGATTTTTAACTTCGGTCCGACGTTTCGGACGCTTTGCAGCAGCCGTGGTCACGGGGAGACAGGTCAAATAAGTTTAACAAAAAAAAATCGCGTTTTAAACCGTTAAATTGTTTTATTTAAATGTGTACTACTCACGTAAACTATAGACGGTACTCGTTTTACCAAAGAAAAACGACTACACTTGAGTGTTAGGAACTGAATATGACAATGAAAGATGAGCATACAAGTTTCTTTCTTCTCGCCGTTCTATGCCTTTGATTTGAGAACTGGTAGTAAATTTAAATTTTGTGAAAACACTGCGGGGAATGTGGAAACAGGAGGAAAACTTATTCATCTTTATGGTTTTCCTAAAAGCGTGTACAATGAAAAAATTATGAAAGATGATTCCTCTATGAATTATCTAAAAATATCCCTATCTTCTAAGATTAACTTGCAATAACGAAGGGAAGTGACCGACGTCGTAAGTAATAACTTAAGGTTATAAAGATAGTTTGCAAAACAAATTTTGATGCCAAAAATAAGTATTGTAGGCGGACTAAGTCGCTGCTAGTATTGTGATAAGTGTATTACCTGCTGGATTCACTTTTGCCGTGAATGATAGTGTACAATAAGTCAACAGGAGACGTGTCAGGATCTTCGGCCTTCAGAATTTCTGAAGTTATCACTTTGCGAGTGCCCTGAAATATTTATTGTTGATAATTTATACTTGTAGTATTATACTTTGTTACATTGATCGATTTTATTTATAAGTAATAAAATTTCTCTGCCCGGGATATCGAAACAATGTTTTCCCGGGGAATTAATATAGATAGTTAATTATTATAAAATATAAACTAACTCTTGCATTTGTTAATTGTTATTCGTGCGATACTGATCTATTCGTGTAATTAACTGTAATTGGTTTAGTTTTTCATTTGCATTAGTTATTAAGAAAGTTAAAGGCTTTGTCTGCTTTTTCTTCTGACACACCACCATAAGATATACTTGATGGAACGTGACATACCCAAGTTGTAACTATAATGCGCCGTTGACTTATTTTAAGTTCAAAAATCCACAAAATAATACCGGATAGACTTCAAGGATTTTTCGTCTGCAGACGTGTGACAGCTACCAAATATAAAAAAAGATTCGATTCCCAGTGGGAATCGAACCCACAGCCCGTTGATTATTATTTAGCCATTACTATTATTGTACCAGCGAGCCTTTCAACTTCTTGATAATTCTTCTGTATTTAGTAGTTTAGTTAACATACTCACTGCATAACACTACTGCTGTTCAGGTCAAAATAAATCATGCAACTACTCAAAAGCAACTGATATAAATTAATTGAAGCACACGGATCATTCTGAAAATAACAAACAAAAACATTGTCTTCACTTTACGCAAGTAGTACAAATAATAAACACTTTTCACGGTTTAAAACGAAAAATATATAATTTTTTAAACCGTGGTCACGTATATTTCACATTTCGTAAATTGATTCAAATTTTATTTCATAAAGTGATTTATGAAATAAAATTCGAATTTCAATGCAAAAATATCGCTCTCTATAAAATACTGACATAAATCTTATTAATTTATTAGTAAATTGACGTACTATTTCTGTTACTAATGCATTAATTTTAATAAAAACATGCATCTATCAGTTCGTATTATATGCAAAAATCGTGTAATGCATGCACGCATGAAACACAATTGATCTAAATTGAATTATAAAGAAATAAAGATTCTCTAATATTTGAGACATGGCTGTAATTAACAATCAGTATTTAAAGCAAATAATGAATGAACAAAAACAATTATATCATTTTTAATACCAATGTGTAGATAATAAAGTATATATCAATATTTCAAGCTAATTTTTAGTAGTAGTATTCAAGTAGTTTAGGTTTAATTAAGGATAAATAACAAAAAGAATTGTCTGTAGTTTACTCAAGTAGTACGCATTTAAACACTTTCGACGGTTTAAAACGCGAACGCCGTGCCGTAGCTAAATTAAAAATAATTAACTAAAATATTCCGTATAAGTTTAAATCTGTTTAAAGTGTTTTATTAAAGAAAATCTAGGTTATTTTTATTTTTAAAGGGTTAAAAAAACAACTTGTAAAGTCAAATTACTTAACAACTTGGTGCTCCTCCCATTCTAACATAATATAACAGCCCACTAAATAACGATAATAACACTAGTGTTTAGGACTATTTTTTTCTAATTCGTAATCAAAGGCAAAAAGGGAATTTAACAATAGAAACTAAATAATATTATTTCTATCAATAAATTTAAAAAAAACTTACTTGTGTCAATCTAAGGACCTTTCCTGGTAGTAAATTAAGAACGGGTGGGTCGTTTACGGGCGTTACGTTAACGTGTAACACGAACGTGTTACGTCCTTGCAAATAACTCGGTAACGTGAATTTCGTTTCTGGTATCAGTTCCATTTCAAGTACGATGGCGTCTTGGTGGTTTTCCGAACCGTCGTGCACGTAACGAACCTAAAAAACACAGAAGAAGCAAGGTAATATTCAAGTCTGTCTTATCTTTGTTGTTACTTATTTATATTGTTTAGCGGTAGTCAAAATTTGTATAATATTTTCAATGTGTCTAAGCGAGCAACCGATAAAAGAAAGACCGTATGTGTATATCATTGTTTTAATTGTATTTAGTTTACGTAAAATCTAGCTCCAAGTTTTAAAGAAATTTTATTTACGCCCAAGTATCTGATTATGTTTCCACGAAAGAACGCAGGACATCGTGTAAAGATAGACTGGTGTTAAGATTTTTTTAATTAAATTAAAAACAACTTTACTAATTTAATCAAAGCTATTATGTGAAGACAACGATGTTTTTGTGATAGAGAAGGATAGACAAAAAAAACCCTAAAAATATGTACGAAAGTATGATACGTCTTCAAATGATCTTAAAAGACATCCGCAACGATATATGTATATCTGTTAAGATTAACTTGCAGGAACGGCGGGACGCGACCAATGTCGTGGGCTACAATCTATGAAGGTTTGCAAAAACAAATTATGATGTTCAAAATAACTATTCTATGCGGACCAAATGGCTGACACAGATAGTTAGTAATACATTGCTACAATTAGACCACAGCCCGTTATGTAACATATATGTATTATGTTCTTATTAATCGAGGAAGTGAGATTATAATATAATTATCACACGTGGTTACAATCTAAGTTTGTAATATAGTTATCTATTGTTATATCAACTTGCATTAATCTGTCATAGTAGGTCAACCCTTTGTTACTGGTTCGTGTTCAAATTAATAGTTTGTGGCTATTGTTAGTATTGCATCGAATTCCGTATTGATTTGCTAACCGGAAATGCCACCGGTTTGTAACACAAAGACCTTTGACTAAGATGAACTTCGAGATAGTTTCGCATTCCTGGGATTTACCATTCAGAACGGCCAGAGCAATACCTACCTTATCTCTCGATAAATCTAGTAGAGTGAAAAATTGCTTAGATTTATCCTCGATGTAATTTGTGTATTGCGGTGAATTCCTCTGTGAGGTCAGGTCGATTGCGATTCTGCCGTGTAGTGGTTTTTGAGCGACGTGAAGTAGGACGCCAGATGGTCTTACACCATATTTATGGTGATCAAGAATCACATCTATATTTTGAGTAGTTATAACAGCCACGCCTCCCTCTTGTACAGTTAAAGGGTAAAGTGCGACGAGCTCTAATTCGCTGCTCGACTTTGAAAATACCTGAAATTCCAAATTCAAATAAATAAAAAAATGCGTTAAAGTTGCGTGTTTAAAAATATTGAGACTTGTTGGTAAATGCACGGTACACTGTCTTAGGTTCAAATGCCGCTCGTTACATATCTTATTTCGATCTACTACTACATATAACGTTATCGCACTTTTTTCGAAAGTCTTTTTTAATATTACTTAACTATAGTTGCTTTTTGTTTGTATTGTATTTAAGTAAATGAAGTGAATAATTAAATCCATTAGTTAAATATAAATTACTCATATATTTTCCAAATATTGTTATACTTGTAATTAATATTCCAATACTGATTAATATAATTTAATGCTGACAGACCACAAAATAAACATATTCCGATTTAATAAAGTTCGTTTTACATCTGAAAACACTGCAGAACGCGGAGAACAAATATTGGAGCGCTTCGTATTTTTTCCAACTAAGTCAACTTTACAGTGGAAACAAAAATCAAAAATGTTGAATTTAGATTAACAAACGAAGCAAAAGTTCGTGTTGCTGGCTTTCAGTTGAGTTGACGTGCTAAATTGTGTTTTTAAAGTTCGTTTGGAACATTTAGATTAACGGATCGGAATACTAGCTTTTGGCCGCGGTTTCGCTTGCTAAATCTAAATACTAACTGTATATTATAAATTAAATACTGAAAAATGTTTTAAAGAAACCTTGTTTACAACTATTGGACTTTTGTATCGCATCGATGATAAATAACGATGTAGTACGTGATCGCAAAGTAGTTTTTCTTGCGAAAAAAATCTTATAACTAAGTATTATTTGTAGTTTACGCGAAGTACACTTACCAAACCTATTTATTTTCAACTATGATCCGACGTTACGGATGCTTTTCTACTAGCAAAGTTAACCAATATAAATGTAATTTAAACCATTAAAAGTGCTTTATTAAATGTTTTTATAGCTTAATTGGGGGATTGATTGAAACTTACTTAAATGAAAACTGAAAGCAACTAATATAACTCAAGGTAAATGCATTTATTATGATATAAATAAAATAGGCTGCTAGAGTGGCCTAATAACAAAAACACGATTTCCAAGAAGGAGGAAAATAAAGATGCGCAATTAATTTAGGCGAAAATGAATTTGACTATTATATGTGTAAAAATTATGTTTACAATTTTCGGTCACAGTGCTCTTGTAGATTAACGTGTTTAGACTATGAAAATATAAATAACTCGAGATATAAATATTGCAGTTAGGCCACTCTGTCATCAATCTATGTGATAGTGTTACCTTATACTTTTCAGCATAGTCGGGGTTGATGCATAAATCCGTGTCGCATTTACACGTAAAATGATCGACGCCATGTTGCCCGCATGTCGCTTTGGGTACACAAGGTGGACTAGGACTGGCGTGACATGGATACCACCAGACACATTTGGGGGTCACACCGCAAGTCACGACCGCGTTGGGCAGGCCAAATATTTTGTCTTCAACTTCAATCGGTCGGATGCAGCCCTGTTGATAAAGTATTCAATAAGTCTCCACTAAGCGGCCCCCTTCCCACTTCTCACCATCATCATAGGTTCAACAATTCAAGTTTTTCTGATGGTATGGCTAGTAATCAATGGGTCGTGGATTCGATCCCCAACGGGTCCCCCGAAATCGTATTTTTCCTGCAACACGCTGGACTTCGTCTGAAAGTCTGGATATTAAATGGATGGTAGGAATATCGAAATTCCGTCCGCAGATGAAAAGGCCGTGAAGTTTAATCGCGTTTCGGTTTCAGTCTGTGGATTTCCGAATATCAAAAGCCAAAATAGGTCGACATCGCATCCACCCCAGTCAAGTGAACCCCAAGTTTGTCTGTTTGTCTTCCTCTATCTAAGACTATAGAACTTCGTGCCAAATCCAGAATTATCTAATTCTCTTGATGGACCTACGACTAGCTGCTGGCCCGATAAGCCCGTATAAGAATTAACACAAACATAAAGATTTCGGTGCATGAGAATCGAACTAACAATACGATTTGATTCGATGGTCTTAACACTCCACCAACACGGTTATCGCTTCAACCAAATGCCGTAGCTAGTAATTTCGCTAGCACAATGAAAGCGTTCGGGAATTCCGAAACCTTCAATTTACCAGAATTTACCAGTACCTCCTAACTGCACGAGGCAAGTTTATTAAGGCGCCTTTGAGCATCTACAAAAGCCGACGATATGTGGAACTTGCTAAGGCAGTGCGTCATAAGAGAATGACATTTATTGTATAGGCCTACTTTGTAAAGGTTAGTCGCAGTGAGTTCCTTTTATGATAGAGAAAAGACAAGCATGGGGTCACTTGATTTAGTAAAATACCCCATTCATATAACGTCTAAACAAGATGGCTTTGGATATTTGAGAATTTACAGACTGAAGCCAAAACGCCATTAAGCTTGACGGATTTTTAGTGTGAAGTTACAGTGAAACATCGATAAGAACAGAAGTCCGCTGTAGCTAAATGGTTAAACGTATTGCTTTAGTGCTTTAACGTATTGTTTTTTTTTTATTTACCATAATACTCGAGTCCGCTGCCTTAACTCCTTTAGCGAAAGCCCTTTGTCTTTTATCAGTTTCAATTCCACCGAGGTAAAAGGTGTCCGAAAGATCCAAATACCGTGTACCACTACTTTCTATTCGACTACTCATCGCGATGTTGTCCACGGATAACTGAAAAGAAATGCACAGTGATAACAATAGGATACATCAATATTTCATAAAACAAACAAAAAATAAAACGGATTTTCACGTTGAAAACTTTTGCATTCAGATATCTCAACTGTATAGAAATAATAACGCGAGATGCTTTTATTATTTGATACAATAGCATCTCAGTTTATTGCGTTCGCATAATCCTGTATCCGGTACTTCTAAACTCATATTTCCAATATTAAACCCTCGATAAATTTTCAAATATTTTTCAATATGCAATTCAAATAAAAGATTTACTTCGAAGCGACAATTCAAAGCTTTGTAGCAGTCATACATGTAAATATTGTTATTCAATAAAATTGAATCAATCGAGTTCTTTGCTACAAACAAAAACGCTCGAATAACTTGCTATATTTTATTTCTAAAAGTATTTCGTGCTCGAAAAATGAAATAATACCCGGACAGTTTTCAGTCAGCTTTTACGTTTGGTTGACTGTCGTTTAAGTATTCAAACTATAGTTACTTTATTTAAAAAATAATTTCGAATTCAGAACGCCAGAAAGAAAACATTTTAAACGAGAAATTTCATAAATTCACTCAACGAATAATATTTACGAAAGTTTCGTATGTTCAATATTTGAGCAATGCCTTTGTGCATATTAAAGGTATTATCGATCGGAAAAAATAATATATTGTTAGTATAGTTTAAACTTTAATAAACAATGATAATCATTTACACATTTCACGAAGTTAACAAAAAGCTTGGGCAACAAGTAATAAGCATACATTAAAATCGGATGATAATGAAAATGTTAAAGCCAATTAAATATTATTTTCGGCCGAGCAACTATTCTACCAGTGGTGTGAAAACAATTGTTTGATCAAGCTATTACTTACTATTTAGATTATTAGATTTTATTTTAAAAGACAATTTCTAAAAATACACGCTTGCATTTATTTTCATACGCGGACGAACTAAATATGCTTTCTAAAGGAACGGAAACAAATCCTTTTCCTGGTGATGTCGCTTCATAAATTTTATAAAGAAATATTTATATAGAACTAGTGCATAACCTAGAACGACGGCGACAAAGTAAATAGTATAACCTCAATGTGTCATTCTAAGCTCGAAGCTCTATATAAACTTAGAATTTCTCCTCCAGACTAATGCATGGTGCAAATTTCATAGGAGATATTATGTCCAAATGCAAGTTTGAATTCAAACCTTCACTCAATGTTGCTCTGCTAGTGAATTTCGGGAGGAATATTGGTTTCAAGGAAACATATATCCCTATTAGTATTGCTAGAATATATCGACCATTTATTCCATCGGGTTTGTAACAGTTATTATTTCACGACTTTCGTGACCCAATCGAGTCGAGGCATTCCATAAATACTACAGGTACCAATGAGGCGGCTGGAGACAGAGTAGCCTAACTGCAATTTTATCTAAAAGCTTTAATTTACAAGAGCACAGTGACCGAATATTGTTAACACAATTTTTACACAAATAATAGTACCAATTCATTGTCGCCTAAGTTAATTGCGCAATTATTTACTCTTTATTAAAATCTTGTTTTTTATTATTAGGCCACTCTGCTTCTAGCGGCCTCCAATAAAGTAATAGGTACACAGAAGTGTCTACTCTGCTGACATTATAGATATCGGAATTCACGTATAATTACGCAGAAAAATCTCAAGCATATGTTATAATACCTACAAGTTTATTCAACGGCCATTTCTGTATATTGGGCATAGATACATAAATCAAATTTCAGCTATGTTAAATTTTTAGCTAAGACATTTCCCTTTCAATTTGATACGGTACTTCGGTAGTAGTACAAAAAACGCTTGTAGAATCGTAATATCGTATTTTTTTCATTTATTATATCAAGTGTCCGAACTAATAGAATACCTATACTATTTAATAATTAAGACAAGCAAGTAAATCCTTACTGTTAGAAAGTTTTATAATATCAAATGTTGTTTTCACCAATTATTATTTCACATGTAAATAGTATGTTTAAACGGTTTTATTTAGCTCGACCCGTACGGAATTTATTTATTTGGGTCAAAACTAGAAATTGAAATTAAAGCACCTTCCCGTTGTCAGATTGATCAGAAATTTGGTACACACATTTATTTTGATGACAATAAAATCATTATAAATCCAAGATGGCCGCCGATACAAAATGGCGGATTACATATTTTTCTGAACCCCTCGATATGGTTATCAAATGAAAGGGCTACTAGTAAAACAAGATGAAAATGTCAATTTTTTTTTTAGTTCAGTGTAAAAAAAATAAAACAGTCTAACTTTTTATATATTATTCTACCCGGACATAATTTGTTCTCCCGCTTTAAAAGTCACTTTTTTCAGACGCTGACTAACGAAATTAGGAAAATTAGTCGCTCGAATCTACTGGAATAAAACCCTCGATCCATATCCTATACATTGTCTCCACTATACCAACGAGCTCGTGAAAAAAGATTGAAAAACAAATGAACGAAATGTATATTAAATTGATTGCCGACCTTAATAATGCATTTTCCGATCATTTCCTGCACTGTAACAGGCAAAGAGCCCGCGGCCATTCGAAATTTAAAACTTAAATAAAATATCAATTTTACGCCACTTTCGTAATAATAATGCAAACGCACCTGTTAATTAATGACACGTTAATTGTATGAAAAGTGTAAAATGATATTCACTTGAACAGCGGGAAAATAGACGCCCATTTCAGATGAAAATAAATATATTTATCAGTTTCATACTTTCAATAATGTTTCGATTTTAATACTGTCTGTTGTTTACGCGAGTAGTACACATTTAAGTAAAACCACTTTAACGGTTTAAAACGCGATATATAGTAGTTAAGTTCATTTACATATTATTTTATTTTAATATCGGCTAGAAGATACAGTTTTTAATATGGGTTCCCATTCCACCACGGCTGGTGCAAAGCTACCGAAACATCGGCCCGTAATTAAAATAAAATGATTATAAATCGCGTTTTGAAGCGTTAAAGTAGTTTAATTAGATGTTTCCATTTCATCACGCTTCTCTAGTGTGGAAAATCGTATACGATTTTCATTATCCATGACCACTAACGAATTATTAGTTCAGCGCTATAGTGCCTAAAGCTAATTCTAAATAGATATGGATGATAGTGTAAATTACACAATCCGATAAAGATTATTTTGACAAGCTTATTGGTAGTGTTCAAAAAATATAAGACTAACCAATGAGGCGTGAGTTTGAATCCTACCGGGACGGGGAAGTTTCTTTAAGTGTTATACACACGATCCATAACTTTAGCTAGCCTGACCGTATCTGTATTTAAAACATCATCGAGCTCTATATTGGACTGAGCTTATTTGAAAATATATCGATAAAATCATTTTGGGAAAAAAATGAGAATGCCACTCTGTATTTTAATACATATAAGCGATGCGATATTTGATATTAGATAACAATTTGACGAAATTTAAAAAAATCGCATGACCTAACTCATCAAGCAGAAAAAAGTTAAAATTTACTTTCAATTGAATTATTATGACATCGAATTGCTTACCTATCTTAATATATAAAGCTGAAGAGTTTGTTTGTTTGTTTGAATGCGATAATCTCAGGAACTACGAGTATGAATTGAAAAATTGTTCTTGTGTTGATTAGAACATTTATTGAGGAAGGCTATAAAACATCGCATTGTGACTAATAGAAGCGAAGATACAGCGTGAAAAGTGAACAAAACGTGGGAAATTTTTCATCTCTGTGTGTTTCTGTTGCGTAGGCTCCGAAAACGGTTCAAGATACCTACAAAATTTGCATAAAAGAATGATTCATCTTTAAATGATCTAAAAAAAAGTCCACGACGCTATATGTCTATCTTTTAAGGTTAACTTGCAAGAACGACGTCGTGACTAACAGCTTAAATTTATAAAGATGACGGGGTTTGCAAAAACTAATTTGGATGCCCAAAATAACGATTCTCGCGGACGAAGTCGCTAGCACAGCTAGTTTATGTATAAAACGCTTACGCGTAGCAGATTATTTTATAATCATAAAAAGTTTCACACCACCCATACCCAATATAGGGCTATGAATATCAATTCAGATTGTATCCAATGAAATTTAAACTTTGTGGAACGAAGATTCGAAGTTGAGAACATCGCCATCGCCACAATATAAGTATGTATACATATAAAATTGTTCACGGCTTCATTAATTTTACGCCAGCACGATAACATTAAAAAATATAGAATTTCTCGACTCATTTACTTAATACATTATATCAACTCGTGTAGCGTCGCCGTTAAATAATTAACTAACCATGTTCGCTGCAGCAGAATATGCAGTTAGCTGGATCGCACTACACAATTATAATTTTAAGCTTAAACATCGATCGAAACTTCGCTGAACCGGATATTCGAGTGACGATTGACTATTTTGAACGATTTTAAAATCATGATTTCATGTTATACAAAAAGAATCTTCCAGCAATCGAGGAGCTAACAACATCTCTTGGTGGTGGCGAAACGTCGAGAACCTCTTCTCGCTCATGCCGGCCGAACAGCCCGAAAACAATGGTATGCTGAACGATGGCCGTGAAAGGCTTACACAATTTATTAGGTGGAAATTAGGGTAATTTTGAAAATAGAATTCGAGTATTATAGCTTGAGCGTCGTATGACGTCATCGTATCACGTGTCATGGTGACGTCATCATCATTTTTTGTTGATGTTCCAATTTAATGTGTTCCGAGTTCTTATGTTTAAATTTAATAGCAAAATGCAAAATGTATTTTTAAAAATGAATTACCATTTTCCAACCTATTGTGCATCGTAAAACCGTCAAAGAGACAACCCATATAACTGCCTTTGTAGTATTATGTATCAATGATATTAATATTGTAATGTTCATGATAATCATTGTGAATAAGTAGATATTGCTATTATTGCCATAATGCTATCGCGTTTCAATTAAATTCGACAACGGTAGATTTCCATATTCATGTGCTATGCCGTAGACTTGTGATTCCCTAGAACCTTGTCTCTGAGTTTAATTAATAAACATGGAACGGGCTATTTGTGAGTAAGTACGGAATCGTCCAGAGCTCAATGAGTAACATTGCAGGATAGTCCTGGGTTAGGATGCGGGGGAAAAGATAATTCGTTCATGAAGAGCATAAAGTCTGATGAAATGGAAGAGAAGGGGGCACAGAAATGTGCTCGCCGCACAGATGTTAAACAGTATAAATTCAAATTTGAAATAGACTTAAAGATAAAAAGAAATTGACATTACAATTACATAGTTAAATACCAGAAAATCTGTCTTATTTATTATATATTAAACAATAACATGTAAAAAAATAAGTGAGTTTTTAAACCGACCTATCACGTTTTCGCGGGTGTCGAACCCACATTTTTAAGCTTAACGCAAAGCGCTACAATGACAGCTACATAGTTCAATGTTACCACAAAACACACGCTGTTATTTCGTCTTTGTGACGTCATAGCCTGTTACAAATATTACAACAAAGCCACGAGGCGAATAATATGCCAAAGTAATTGACATACATACGCTGGAAAAACATAGCCATCTTATTGTCACACGGTAAAACAGTACGCCAGCAAACCAACTTTCGCAATTTTAATCAGCAAATGTAACAATTATAAGCTCGCTTTCGATAAAAGAAACACGAGCCACTTCGCTAGCAACGTATAAAACAGTCGGGCTCATTGTTAAGCCATTTATAACTGATAAAGGGGGGATGGGGGTGGATATAGAGTTTGGGGAAATTTGGAATAAAGGTTTAATAGTTATATTGTAAAAACAAATTTGATGCCCACAATCAAATATGTTTTTACAAACCTCATTATCAACCTTATAATTTTAAACGACGACGTCTTCCGCGTCCCATCGTTCTCGCAAGTTAATCTTAAAAGGTAGGCAAATACTGTCGCGGATATTTTTTTATATAATTTCGAGAGGAATCCTTTTTTTGTACATATTTTTTGGGTATCTTGAACCGTGTTCGCAGCGTACGCAACGGAAACCCACAAGGTTAAATAATTTTCCCCGTTTTTTCCACATTTCCCGCTGTTCGCAGTGCGATGTTTTATAGCCTATAGCCATCCTCGATAAATGCCAATGCTAACCAACTCAAAGTTTATTATTATTATATTAATAATTTTTCAATTCAAACCAGTAGTTTCTACGATTAGCGCGTTTAAACAAACAAACTCTTCAGCTTTATTTATGAGTATAGATAGATGACATTTGTCGTACAGTCGTCGTTTTATGCGAGTTCGGAGACGCGGTTTTTTGTTTGCCAACTGCGACGTGCCTATGTTCGGCTTTTTGTTTGATCATGTTATCCATGCAATTGTTTCATTTCCGTGTACACATTTGGTTTGCGTTACCCGGAATTATTTGAACCTGTACGAAAAATTTTAAACTAACGTGTCTATAAAACACGGCCGATTTAAAACGCGATATATACCCTTATTTGTAAAATATTTAACTAAGGCCGGTCGTATTTGGTAATTTCGCCAAATACCAACTACGCGTAGCAGTTTTTACTTTGACATTAGAGACACCTTCCATCTTTAGTCTCCCCATGACCACGGCTTCTGCAAAGCATCTGAAGCGTCGGGGCGAAGTTAAAATACTTTCCAAATAAGTTTAACTAATACATATCGCGTTTTAAACCGTTGAAGTGTTTTATTTAAATGTGTACTCCTTGCGAAAACTACAGATAGTATTTAACTAACGATTCGATTAACGATCATTTGGCAGATTACTATTGGAAGATAAATATCACGAGACTAATAACATACATCGGTTTTTTACTCTGTTAAAGTATAGTTTAATAGTTTTTATTTTAAATTTCGAAAAACAAAACCAACAAAAAATTTATTGTCACCACAATGTTACAAAATAAGATGTAATCTGAAGTAAATCCAAAAAATTTAGCTAGAAAAGGCGGCCTTATCGCTAAAAAGCAATTTCTCCCACGCCTTGAAGTTATAAATAATAATAAGGGATATAAAGGGGCAATAATAAATGATAATAACACTAGAATACCTATTTGAAGCATTACGAAATGACGATCCAATAACGTAGATAAAATAACAAAACTGTACTACGATTAATATCACAGCGAATTCGAAGTGAAATAAACATCCGTTAAAAATGTCGGATTATATTAAAATTGCAGTTTTGCAGCATGGCTATCTCACACGAGATTGCTATCAAACGTTCAAGTCTAGGTAGACAATGGCTGTCTAAAGCCAGTGATAGCTTCGTACCTCCGATTTTAAAGGCAAATTCTGCATAGCACTTTACATTATGCGGACTTCCAGTTGACATTTGAAGCGGTATTAGTTTGATGTCTCTGGATTGTGTTTAAGTGGAGCGTGAATCTATTTGAACGTCTGTTGTGCATATTTAAATGATATATACTTTCATAGCGTCTTTGAGCTTTGCGGTTAATTCAAACGTAGAACGATCTTTGGACGCGATAAAATTGAGTGCACTCAATGCATTTTAGTTTAACTTACATCCAATCCGTTTGTCAATTGACGCTTAGAGTAACTTTTTTTGTACATAAGGTATTAAAAAAATTCATACAGTCCCAAATTTTCACCCATCTATCACAAACACGTATATTTTAGTAGTCATTTGAAAAGCTGAAGCCGCTTTTTTAGAAACAATTGATATGACAAAACAACCCTTAACGGGTCCGCTTGCAATTGTTTAAAAATAAATAATATGTGCGTCGATCACTGGAAACTAAAGAATTGGCCTTACCCTAGTTTACAATACAAACGATAGTGAAGTTCAAAATGCTGAATCACATCAATCGTTCTGTTCTTTTCAAACCTTAAAAAATGTTACTGAAAACAAAACATAATATGTGGATATATATATCTTTTATCACCACTTACCTCAATCAAGGAAGGGTTGAACAGCAAATGAAGTTTGTGCCACTGTCCGTCGTTGACCCTGACCGTGTGGGCTATCTGACCTCGGGCCATTTTTACACGAACAACCCCTTCTAATATTTCCACAGCCAAGAAGTCCGACCCTCGGCCGCCGCCGGGATTATAAAGTATCACAGCGTTGGGCGTTATCGTTTTGAACTCTATTTGCCACCTAGCGTTGCACAGATAAAAAAAAAACACATCACGAACGTAACGGATAAAAATTCGAAAGCAATTAAAAAAAAGAACGAAAACTTTTAATCAATATTACCTGCCGCCGGCTCTCGAATTTATTTTCGGCAAAATCATATAAGCTCCTTCGTCAACGAAGCTGATATCGGAGTTTAGATCGGCGTCGAATTCTGGCGCGCAATTCCAAGTAACGCCTTCGACATGCACTGAAGCGCTACGACTACGGGCTTTCTCTATTATTTTGACGCCATTGTAGAATACCTGGTAAATAAATAATATAAGATAACAATGAAACATATTTATGTTAACTTTACGTCTTAGTTGAACATAGAATGATGAGTTTGACATCACATTGACTATAAATAAGGTACTTTTAACCACCCCTCTTTTTCCATCCAATTTAGTTGAGTTAACATTTGAAAAGATTAAACAGTTTTTATCGGTTTAAAAGTAACTATTTAATGAAATAGCGGGAAATTTTGTAGTACCTTAGACATTACCGATATTTTTTGACCTTAGTGATGATTCTTCTTCGTTGTTACTATAAGTAATATATATAGAACATAGTCGTAATAGATAAATGTTTAATTGTTTATTAAATATATACAAATATAATAATAAGTAATTTTGATATTAGTACGATTTCGTATTACGTTATTTTGTTTATTTATCATATTTTAGATAAAAATATTCGGTTTCAACTTTAAATAATGTGGCAAACCATACCTATTGTAAATTGTCAAAATTATCATTCTATAATATCATTTGTTGCGATAGATAAAAATGCTTTCTAAATTCAAATTGTAACGGAACATACATCTTCCATGCAACCTCGAAAGTTCTCCATATGACCAAGGAAGAGTTCGGAGAAGTCGCCCTGGCCACCGAGGAACACGCCGAAGTGTATATTCAGTTCGAAGAATCGTCCTGGCAGTCTCTTCTTCACTATACTGTCGTCGACCTAAAAATAATGAAGGGTGTCAATGACGTAATCATGCGCCGTACTTGCGTGACTCGACATACGTTTATCAAGAAAACAATGTACAACAATGTGTTGCCACGCTGAAAGGAAACTAGGAGACAAAGAAGCCACCACTTAAATTAGTAACCGGGATATTTTCACGGCAGTTACACAAATTAAAAAGCTATGTCCACGCTTTTAATTCCTGCGAGCGAAAACAATTAATTCCACTCGTTTTAATTTCGTGTAAAGCTCCTTGTATGGGAGCTTTACAAATATAACGAGGAACGGACATTAACAATATTGTAGGACATTTTATTAATCTGTAACAAATATTCCAATATCAATTAAGAATAAACTTTGAGGATTTCAATCCCAAAAATCGTTGAGTAGGTATATATTTTGTACGAGAGATAATTCTAAAATTAAATTTACCTTCACTACAGTAATGAAGCGTATTTTTTTCGTTAAATATTTTTAACGAAAAAGATACGCTTGTTTTGCTTTTGTGGCGATATCGACTTATGCTAAAAAATAATATGCATTATTAATGTGGGCAGTCTGTCTCCGTAAGAGGTTAAACGCGATGCGCGGCATCGCGTAAATCGTAATTCGTTACGCGTTCGAATCCCGGGGACACGATAAATTGTATTGGTCGGGCAGGGCACTGATGTATAGTCAAATACTTGCACACATATTGTATTGGCCTATAGTACGCCCTCATGCCCCATAGTAGGGGTTTAATTTTTTTGTAAATTTTATTCGTGCTACGTTAAATCTTTCGTTAGACAAAATTAGATAATAGTTTGAGCTAGAGCTTACAGTTGAGTTCGTTAGCCAACCTATGCATGTTAACTAAAAGGGAAACTAATAGAAAATACTATTAAGAAGTTTTTGTACGTAATAAAAGCTTTTTAAGTGTAATGAATGTTCATTTTAACACAGTAATACTTACTGTGTTAAAATGAACATTCGAAACTTTATACGCAGTAACGAAGCGTTACATAGGATTTGATGAAGCTGCTGTCTTTTATTGAATTACTTTTATACACTACTATTTTTTTTTTTTATGATGGGAGGAGAACAGGGAAGCTTGTAGTTTCATTTGATAGAAAAATTCTCTAGCCATATACATCTCAACAATATACGTTGCCAATCTTTTGGAATTTAAAAATTGGAAAAAATTAAACCGAACGAGAGTAAACTTAACAGTATTTTCATTCATGGACGGTGGTTCATGATTTGGACGGATTTTCGAATACCCATTTAATATTCAGATATCTATACGAACTCCAGAAAAATAATATATAATATACGTAGATTAGAGAGATATTGTACCCGATGGAGTTTGAACCTAGGCCCCGTTGTTTATTAGCACTCCATTGCAAATGATTCAGGTTACAATTTGATTGAAAAATTTAATACTTTTTTACGAAACTGAAAAGAATCTCGTTAAAGTACTGGCGTTTTTTAATGACTCATCACTCTTCTATATCATAAAATGTTATGTGCATAACTAAAAGACGTGATGCTCACATAATCAGGATTCGCTTAGCTCATTTACATCTGTTCACCGTATAATAGACGTTTTAAATGTTAGACCATCGAGTACCATCGAAGTTTTAGCCTCATGTTAAACATATCGATTAAGATTTTATAACTCAGAAAAGAAGCTTAAGTTAGAATGGAGAATATTAATATATACGTTGATTCCATTGCTTCGTAAATCGATAACTTGAACGTTGAAATTTTGACCACAGAAGTTTTCAGCTGCGGTGAAACTCTGTTTGAACTGCTTTTAAAAATAATAAAGTTTTTTAAAAACGCTCTTGTCATTGCAAAGGCACAGTATGTACACGGCATAGTGGTACAAAGACCCTGGCGGCTAATTAGCCGTTTGCATACACGGCTCTATCTTTTGTTTAATTTTTTCCTTTATATGTTATTTATAATGTAAGTTAAAAATGAATGACGTGCTTTAATTTAAATTAAGAACATGAGAGCAACATTGAACGTACTAAAAACAGGTGATTCAAGCATTCTCCTTTAACATAATGAAATTGCTAATATCTATTTATAGTGCAGTGCAAATAGCTAAATAATTACATTACGTTAACTATGCGACGATTAACATTCGCGACTCGCTCGCTTTGATGTATCAATGTGTTTATTGTTTGGAAAATTCAAACACTTCGATAAATTCCATTTTCCATTTACGCAAGTTGCACATTGAGAACGGAATTAATTAATATAATTCGTTGACAACTAAGTAATGCGCTTGTCATTAAATTTGTATTATTTGCAGTGGGCCCATTTTATAGGCCATTATTTGACATTAACTTTAGAGCTGGACAATAAATATGCTTTTTAACTGTAAAACATAGGTCTGGTTGAGTAGATCTAAATTTGAAAACAAATAGTTTCTCTATTACAAGGTTCCTTTGTTGTCTTTTGATGTAATGTAAAATTGGGTCCTTACATTAAGATTTACAGTCCGACTCAATTATTATATTAATTTTAAGTTGCATATGTTTTCTCAGGAAATTGAAAAATGGTTCTATATATTAACAAATGTTAATTTAATTCCCCATACTAGAAAAACACTTACACCCTCTTTTAATTTTGTAATTACCAATCCGTTAAATAGAATGACATCAAAATAAATAAAACTACTTATTAAATACGTTTTATGATCTATATATTATGGCATAATTTAGATCCTTGTAGTAATTAAAATTACAATTTTTTTTAGACTTGTTACTGCCAATAGGTGGAGTTTGACTTACTTTTAGAGTAAGATTTGCTTCTCTTCTTACTATGCTGACGTGATGCCACTGGGTGTCATTCAAATGAAGGCCTTTTGGAGAAGACAGTTCGCTCTCTCCAGCCCCCAAATTTATGTGTAACTTTAGTCTTCCACTCTCAAGACGGATCTACATAAAAAAAAAGAATATAAAATTTAAAATCTGATTAGCCATTCTATTTACAAAATACTTGTATAAGTCGTTAGACGCGTTATTAAGCGCGAATAGTCCTGTGTACAAATCCATGATAAATATTTAAAAAAAAATCCTGGTTAAGTTAAAGCCTGATCACCTATGAATAATAATTTGTCTACCTATACTAAGTATCACTATTTCAAACTTTCACTAATTACTTAAAAAATATTTTACTAGTAATTAACAAGAGCTTACCATGCAGTAGTCTGTTTTACCAGCTGCAAGGAGTAATAATGCTTCAGATAAATGCGTCCTGAATCTGAAGTTTATATCTGTAACCCCTTTCGCCTCTTGAAGTGGATACGAAATATAACTAGCCCCATAGAATGACGCTAAAATACATGCATGTTATTAATAATTAAATAAACAAAAAAACACACATCATAACAAGAGTCATATTTACCTTTATCGTAAGCAAAACTTAAAGGTAGAAGAAACAATATAATAATTATTCCCATTTTAAATATAATTAACACTAAACGTATCGTAATGAGAACTACCACATGTTCTTTATTTTCATTCAAAGCGCCGCAAATTATTTTTAACACTGTTTCCTAAAAAAAAGAAAAAGCATCTTCGAAGATAACACTATGTGATGGACAGGCGTGGCGTTATAGAAGGCACAAAATAATCACTACCACAAAATATTTACTACGAGAGCAATAACAAAGCCACAAATGACTTAATACACATAAGTTTCGATTTTTTACGATTTATTTTAAGATCACAAACAGTATGCTCTACTTCGGTAACATGGCTGACAATATACGAAAGTTAAATAAGTTTACAATCGGAATATCGAATTCGACGAATCGCCCTCCTAACAAGTGCTCAAAATGTCGAATGACAACCACAAGTCTTTCACTTAACTTCGAAATTTTAATTCTAACAAATGACACGACTGACACAACGCCGCTGAATACTGCAACTGACGGATAACCGACCTTAAAAGTAGCGTGTTCTGTGGGCAAGATCTGTATCTGTAAGCGACATCTGCTTAAATTTTCTAGCTTGACACAACTACTGTACTGTATCATTTACAGTCTGCACTTCTAGCCAAGTTGGGTACAAGTACAGGTTTTGTGCTGCCATATATACGGTTCAGTACAACGTTACTAGATGCCGTTCTATTAATTCTACATGAGAGATTTATATTTTATGCTTTTAAACGGATCTATTAGCACTATAACATTATTTTGTTGTTTAGTCACATCGGTTAGTGACAGTGACAGTCTGTAACCAATTTAGTTCGTTAGTTATATTTATCAGTAAAAATCTCAAAATTTACTGATAGCAATTAACAAAATTTTTGTTAGTTACTTTAATCTACTCATTTACATAATATAATTTACATGTTTTTAAAAGATTATATATTCGTCACAAATATATAGATACTCTGCGTAACTAGTATGCTCTGTTGAAATTCAACTATTGTTTATGGATAGAAATAGTCTTTCTATCAATTTCAAAATTGTAACCTAATTTTAGTCATAGCATAGCATAATGCATAATATAAGCTTTTCCTAATCTAGCATATATCTACGCTTAGTCTTGGTTTTAAGGATTTGTTAATAAAGTTTTATGTAAACATCCTTACCGTTAATATATACCGTTTTACCCCTTGCTGCCTGATAAATCGTGTAAACAACTTTAAATTTAAATATGATCTACTGAGCTCTTCAAAAGGAAAAGATCTTCAACAAGGAGAGGATGAGCAACTCAAATTCAGCAAAAAAGGTAAGAAAACGCTGTTGTCTAGTTGTAAGAAATAAGTTTATTTTCTGCTCAATGTATACAAGTACAGTATAGATATACTGAACTATTCTTCATTTACGTAGTCTTAGTAATCGAAATTTAGAAACTAATATTTTCTGTCTTTAACGATGTGCATATTATAATATATAATACTGTAATACATACAATTAGGCTTTTTGTTTTCGAAAAGAGCATAAAATAGCAACCAGTTGCCTAGTTACAAAACAGACAGAGACAATAGAAGGACGTAGATGTACCGTCAAGCTGTTGATTTATTTTAAGTAACTATGCCTCTAACTTAACTTAATATTAAATTTACTTCATTCAACAATTTTCTATTAAGTCTACTCTGTGCAAAGTAACCTGTTAGGTGACACTATGCTACTCTAAATTTATATTCAGATTCAACTAGCATACATTCATCTTGTTTATTTAGATAGTTGGATTTAGTAATATCTATATGCTCCCCAAGTAACATAAGAATGAATGCAAGTAGAAAAAATTGATTAAATTTAGCTGTCTAGAACAGTATCTAGATTTTCCATTTCTATTTGTTGCTATAGAAACCACACTTCACCTTGTTTTACTCGGTTGATTGACGACAGATCGATAGACAGACAACATACTCATACGATCTTATTCTACCATTATATAATAATATCTATCTACCACTGGGTCAAAAATGTGTTTCTAATTAATTAATATTTTTTCTGAAATATGTTAGAATTGATCGGGATCGTAAATGGGTGGTAACAAAGTTGAAAATCATGAACGGCCATCCACACAATAGGTTGAAACAACTGGATTTTCAAATTTCCAAGACCAAAGTAGGGTGCCATTGCATCTTATTTAGATGATGACTGGAATTTTACTCCATCACAAGAACCCTATGGTTATCTGACCTCTTGTGCTCTAAAACAATAAATATTGCCTAATTTCTATATTATTCTCTCAAATTCAAAGCTTTTTAATGTTCTTTTTTATTTATTATAACAATTATTTACTTATTATTTTTTATATTCATCAGCTTCCACACCATTTCAGCCATTTCTCCATACCCCTTTTATAGAGGACATTGGGTTATCCAATTCCCAACTGAATTATATACTTAAGTAGAACATTTATAAAATCTTCTACTTATTCCCAGTGTATTAAATAAAAAATGTTTTATAAAATACAATATATATTTAGACATACAAATTTGTACTATGTTACTGTATCTTTAATTATAACTCAATTCAGTTTATTTTGCATATCAAAAGCATTATAGGGCAGGACAGACATCTAATTTAATAATTTAATGACAACAATTTAATATCAATTATACATAAATAATAACTTAAAACAGATTTCATACACTTTTTTCACTTAATAATAATTTAATTTAATAAATTTGTATTTCTAACAAAATAGCACTTTTAACCCAAATCTTGGTTTTTCTTTTATCATACAATTAAGACAAGCCATTTGGTATATCTTAACATTTTATTGTTTTTGATTGAATTAAGGATCCAGTAAACATAATTCAAAATAATGTTTAATATCTTTAAAAAAATAAACATCTTATCTTATTGTCTTTGGAAAGAATTCTAAGGGGCCATCAATATCTCAACCTGTGCTATAAAGCACCTTTATAAATTTGACTTAAATCGATAAATTTTGTTGTCCATTGTGTAAAATTATGGCTTTAAACCATATGTGTTTAATAAATAAAAAAAATATTTTACTGCTGACTTAAAAAATAATAAAGAACTAACTTAGTAAAAATTAAATATATACTTATTTAATTACAGAAGTTTTATTAGTAAATGTATTAACAATAGTTATTTAATATATATTCTTTTACAATTTGGATGGTGGAGAAATATTTAGTAAATCATAGTACATATTAGCTTATAATTATCTATCTAAATGCCACGCCTATAGGTACAGATGGACTATTGATTTTATCTCTGCCCAGGCAAAGCTAAGTAGCTACATAAATACAACTATATCGCGCCAGGTGCTTGCTTAAAAGGCTGTGGTGTGGGTATCTGCAGTGGCTCTCATTGGTAGTTTGCAATGCAGTAATATTGATTTTCCTTGCTGCAAGCCCGGATGCAGGGCTAGCTCTGGGCTCAGTTACATTGTGCCTTTAGTTGTGAACACTTGTGTTAAACGTTTCTCTCTACTTATTTTTTTTAACATATCTATTTATTCTTCTTTTTTTAAAACGAGCCTCAGTTGCATTCAAAACGGAGCAGGAAATGGTAAGCGACGAATTCTTTTGTTTCCTAAATTCAAGTTTAACTTTTTGCTTTAGTGCATTGTCCCCTAGGTTCTATTGTGGTATAAACAATATGTTTAGTCAGAATAACTATTCATACAGCTTTGCGTTTTCGTTTTTAATGTTTTGTTATCTCAGCAGTGCTTAGACCCGGCTTATATTCTGATCCGTCTTGTTTTGGCAAGAATATCTTTTTGCATGCATCTATAGCATGAACACGCTGGCGATTTATTCATACAAAAGAAATAATAATTTTGTGCGGTAAGCCTTCCATATGTCTACAGCGTGTCCATGTCGGTTTGAATCTTCAAAATTCAAACCTTGTCCCTAATGTATTCTGCAAAGCATTCTATTATTAGATGTATGTATATAACTTGTATATAGCATTGCGTATTATTGATTGAAATTATGGCGCATGCGTCTATGGTCCAGCCGCAATTCCCAGGCACTTGTTTATTACGCATGCGTGAACCTCGCCCTTAGTTCGTTCGGTGCAGTTAAGTGTGTGCCACCGTAGGATACGCAGGCGTTATTTAGAAATGGTATCTATTAATATTTCTTATTAATTTTTACAATGCATGCCTCTATCGCTACACAGGTATGTACTATGTATGTAGAGACCGCGTATTTTCACTTTCCTTACTTATTCGTTGCTTTAGTATTACAACTATGCATCGCTTTATTTATTATCTTATTTACATATATTTTAATAAGAGAAAAACTTGCTTGTGAAATTCTTGCTTATTAATTTATTTTTAACGATAAATTGAAGTTTCGTAACTGAGTACCTAAACTAGCGTTTTTTTTATTTATATTGGAGGTTGAAATCTATTTTTAACCGATCGCTGACGTCATCGCAAAAATCGATACAGCTAGAAGTACCCGGATATGCAACCTGCGCAAAACATTGCGCATGCTTAAGCCGCGGGAAGATTTAGGGCTTTGAATACGTGTCAATGATAACGTTTCATTAATAATATTTTAAATATTGCCTCACATTTATATTAATACGTATTAATTAAACTCTAAGTACTTAAATCTAGGATAGAAATCGGCCGGTACTTATTTAGTACAATTGTAAAAAATATTCTAGAATGCGGTGGAATATTTTTCGAAAATGTTATGAAATTAGTAATTTTAAAATTATTTCGAAATTTAAAAATTCGTAGCAACTTAACAAGTTATAATGCTTTTCGAAAAACGAATATTAAAAAACTACCAATGCTTTTGTTCACCAAAAATTAACTTAGCCGTTGTTATGTATTGCGCATGCGCCATACAGGTTCGATAGCGACCGACGATTGCTGTATTTTCATAATGCGGCTGCGCGTAACCTTTTCGGGAATTTCCTAGATGGAATAAGTCTTAACAATATTGAAAGAGTTTTAATATTAAAACTTGATCGTTATAAGAAATATTCTGAAAACACAATTATAGATAAATCTTCATTAACGCATGAATTTAACAACCCGTTTTTATGCGCATGCGTGAAATATGGGACATGACCGACCAATAGGATTTCGGGATACATGATATCGATTTGCGAAGCCTTGAACAACTGCGTTTGCGCGAGTTGATTTAGTTTTTTAAGAACTTATGAACACAATTATTCTTTAGTAAATATTTGTAGGTGTTAGTATTATATTATTGCCACGTACAAGTTCTTCTTATTTATCTTGCTCATTCAACCTTCGTATGCCCTTAATTAAAATTTTGTTTTATCTGCTTTCAGGCAGGGGAGATCTTTCGTGAGGCAGGCAGTGCTTTCAATAAATTGTCAGAAATGACAATGCTGTTACATCCAGTTGGTGACTCTCAACCCGGGTATGTATTGCCTTAACAGTTTAAAATTATTAATAATTAATGACACTTAAAAATACACAATATAATATTTACAGTGGTAAATGGACGGAGGAAGAAATCGAGATGCTGCGTTCCTGCGTCCATCGTTTTGCCGTCGATCTCAACAAGCTCAGCCAGCACATTAAGAATAGAACAGTGTAAGTAGTTACTTTGGGTAGTGTGGTGGGAGGAGGGACATTCTCATTACACCAGATATTTCGCAAATCGCCTTTACATTACCTTACGTTTTTCTTTTAATGGCTCATATATTCAAAAATACTTTTCCTTATTTATTACGTCGCTATTTTAATAATTGAAAATTTTAGTTAGTTCTTTACTGCTTATTGCTGTTGCCTAACAATAGAGATTGTTTTATCTTCAAAACTTTATTAGGAATAGCTTTGTCGCTTTTAAATTGTTGTCGCTTTAAACGTCATTTTACATCTGTTATTTAGGTGACTATAAAAGTTTAGTCATTAAAGAAAAATTATTAGTTTTTCTAAAATTAAAATTCAATTTTCTTGCTCTTCTTCAAATTCAAGTTGTATTTTTTGCAATCGTTCAAATAGCAAAGTACTTGCCATGAAACCGTGTTGTCATTAATCTGAATATATAAGGATAAATTTGACATGTTTCCAGCACGCAGATCCGGACGACGTTGAAGAGGAAGGCTTTCGAGGACGCAGGTATACCTGTGCGACCAGTTAACAACTCTGTGAGCACCCCACATCCGCCCACACAGGTAGACTCGCCTCTGAGCCTCCTACAACCGAACATATTAGGAAAGAACGCCGAGGTTCAAACCTTCACTAACTAATATCACGCTGTTTTTATTTTTATTTTTTTTATTTGGTTCTTTTTAAGTTAGTGAAGTTTGAATTGTTTAAGCTTACGCGGTACGTCTCGCACTCGGCTCACGCATGCGCAGTTTGAATTTAGAACGCTACTTATTTAATTTTTTCTAGAACTCAGGTAGTAGTAGTTTTTTGCTAGAAATTTTACTAAATTAGCAGTATATATTTTTCTTTCTACGATGTTTCTTAGTTCTCTAAAAGTTCAATAGAACTGCGATTTGTGGTGGTAGAATTATGGAAAGTACTTATTATTTGAAGCTGACATATATAATATTAATGGACTTGAGCATTTTACATAGCAATAAGCGAAGTTATGAAAATATATATAAACCGACGCTTTTATAAACAGACATTATTACTTAAAATACTGTTCGTAATAATAAAATAATTTTGCACGCATTGCGTCGTTAAAAAAACGCACTGAGGCACTATTCATGGTATTTTGACTGAGAACAAATACATAACCGGTGTTAAAATTTTATCACAGACCTTATTGTAATTTAAAAAACATTTAGAAGATTTTGGTAGAATTATGATTCCCATGATGAATTACATGGAGGAGAGTAGTTGTAGTGTAGTAGTTAGTTATCTATTTGACAGCAGTAGTTCCACGTTCAAGGTGTTTCTATGAGTTTTCACTTGTCATCAATTGGCCTTGTGACCACACAAATTATTTAAAAGTTATTTTTATATACAGTCATATCTATACGTAGTTGATGATAAACTTTGCGTTTCTATTGTTCTGTAAGAAGCAAAGAGATCTATACTTTACTGTCTATAGTTTACGCGAGTAGTACACATTTAAATAAAACACTTTAACGGTTTAAAACGCGATATATTAGTTTCATTTCGGATATATTCCTTTCTGATGCAGCCGTGGTCACGGGAAGACGAAACGTCAGGCCGAAGTTAAAAATCATTTTCAAATAAGTTTACCTAATATATCGCGTTTAAAACTGTTAGTGTTTTATTTAAAAGCAAAGAGATTGTTAAAAAATTTGTTTAACAGTGTTAAAAAAAAATTATAAAGCGTACTTATAAGAAGAAAACTCGTAGTAAAACCGATCGTTTATTTAAATGTCAGTTGATACATAATAGTAGTTTAATTGACATACAGCATGACAGATGACATATATAGCTAAAATTGTATCGATTGTTTCATAAAATCGAATCGGCGATAACGATTTGTATCGACTAATATACCAATTCGATGTTTTTTAACTTACTAATGCAATATCAATAATTCCAGGTTACGCTGAACATGTTGAACGCTTCGGAAAACGAGGTGGACGTTGAGGGACTGAGTAATGATGTCAAGTTGGAGTTCGAGGCTGGGAACGAAGAAGTCGCCACCTGAAACTTGCTCTGCTTCACGTAGGATCGCCGCGGGGTGACCTAGCAAGACGCGTTGGAATTTTATATTATTTTATCGATTATTAACTCTCCACATCACTGTTCCCGCTGAGCGATTGAAAAATTCACATGCAATGCGACGTCGTCTGGCCCAAGACGCTTTTCACTCAGGTCAATAATAATAAAACATCACATAATTTATCTGTCCACTAGTTACCATCCGTTCTGTTCGCGTGCATTTTTTCTTTCGCCCAACGAGAACTAATTAGTTTATTTTACGATGCAATATTTCGTGTGTAGGCAATTCTAATCGCATGTTTTCAAGTGTATTTCATTTAAGCAATAATTTATGCCTTTTTATATCTTCAGCGCGCCTTCTTATTAGCATATAGTTTAGTTTTAATATCTTGATGTTTAATTGAATTTTATCACCGAACATATTTTTATCGATTATGATTTTATGCGTTGGATATGCCAATTGGTTAAGCACGTTTTACGAAATAACTCCGTTACAGTAAGTTTTATTATATTTAGTGTATAAGTAAGTTGAATATATTTTTTGAAGCCGATTGATCGCGAGTACCTACCGCTTTTTATTATACATTTTATTGAATTGAGATCTTGCGCCGCTCGTTATTTCGCAAGATTATATTGATGTTGTATAGATGGTTTGTATTTTTGATAAGCCGCCGACTTGTGAACGAAGAGGTTATTATTATTTGGCCGAGTCGTGTAATTTATGTTATTATTATTTCGATTTAGTAAACGATTCAATTCCGAGGTTTTTTTGTTTTTATTTCCGTTTTACCTTTGCGTCTGTTATATTGCTTTTGAACTCGAACATTTGTTTCGTTCTTTCGTCTACTTTCTGTGTTTTCCTTTTATTATTATCATTTTGTTTTTTACTTTCGCTGAGTATTTGGGAGTTTTATTTACAACATGAGATCGGTTGAATCTATTTTTTGTATATTTACACGTTTAATAAATGATATAACGTGCCGGAATATAGAGGTTAAGCAAGTTTAGTAATGCCTTGACTGCCTTATTGTGTAGTATACTTACCTATCATTACCTCTCTTATAGCCCCCACTAGATCTTCCACGTTCTTTCTTTGTGCCTTCACCGCGAATAGAAGGATCAATTAAAACCTTCTTCCGATTAAAAGTGGGGTTTTAATCGGCAAAGCGTTTTAATAGTACACCGCATAGTTAAACAACTTTTCGAATTCGCGTTTCCCCTCTGTTCTAGATTTCTTCTACCCACACTATTATTCGTTAGTTAGTTCGAATCCTATTTCTAGTTATATTTCACTGTACTTCATATTACGAATACGGCATACCTCATTTTACAATTCAATCAATGCATTCCGAATACCTCTAAAAGTAACAAGCAATAAACCACTGTTGCCTCGTATGAATATAAGTTGGATTCGGACTACCTCTTAAATTACGGTACATCATAAAATAAGTTAAGTTTAAAATTAGATTAAGAACGTTTCCGCTGTACTTTGGGGCTACTGTTGGTGCCCTTTTGTTGATACGTGTTTTAATATAGCTAACAAACTCGCCATCGGTTTAGGCTTAATTCTTTCTAAAACACCCGCCTGACATTTCGTTTCTTTGCCGTTCACATCTTTTCAACTTAAGAATGGATCGTTGTGTTCAATGTGCCTGCAAAACAGCGATGTAGCATGAAAATTATATTTATGAAACTGTTAAATATTGATAATATATAGTATGTTATACATTATGATACCAACGAGACGCCTTGAAATCCGTACAGAGTAATTAGAGATCGAATGTTTTCTCATCGGCTGTCAAAATCTCTTTCTCCTACCGCTTAGATATCGCACTGTAGTACTCTATAATCTATCTTAGTTCATCCCTTCCCCAACAGAGGTCTCTAATTACCCTGAAACTTTTGATAGGGTTAGGACTTACATTCTATACAACTCCCTGCGATACTAGTATCAGTTCTCACTTTAAAATTCTAATTCCATACGTCGTTTTTAGTTATGCGCCCAAATCTCTAAACACCTTATTCCAGATATAACCAGTTCTTACCAGAACAGTTTAATCTAGGAATAGCTTCGTTCTGTGGTCATTTGTCTCTGAGTTTGGACAACTGGCATATGCAATAGTTTTTCACGGAAATAATGTCATCTACGTCCATTGAAACAACTGTTAATGTATAACCATAATCCATACGCAAGAACAAGCGCTCTATAGAATCGTTCTCTTCTCGGATTTGGGCCGCCGTGTATCAAATTTGGTTACATAGATTCATGTTACATTTGCACGTTTCCTTGCTATTGTTTTTCCATACATTATATACCATTTGAACAGATACTCGCCGAAAATCCAGTTATACTAATTTAATTACAAATTCAACTAATTTGAATGCTCAAATGGACTCCATAGGATTGGTACAATTAGAGTTAATCGTTTTCATTATCTTAGTCAGTAGGTAGCGTATAAAAAAAAACAAAAACAAAAAAAAACGGAAATATAAAAAAATCAAAAAAAGAATAGGATAATTGATAGATTAAAATATTTTTTTATTTACGTTTGTTGATACTATTATTATTTATTACTCTAATTAATTTTCTCAAACTTAAATGTCTATTTTGGAAATCTTAATGTTATTTTCGAGTAATTTGTTTTTTTAAACGATTTTATTTTTCTTTTAACATTAAACCTTTCTTTTTTATTCCTTTATTATTTTTTTTAGCAAATTCCGATATTAATTTTATTGCTCATTATATTTTACCAGTCGATATCCTTTTTTTATGATTAACGTGCGTCTTCGATTGCTTTTTATTGTTGCCTTATATTTTAATGAAATAGTATAGGTGTGTTAAACAATTGAACATTGATACAACATATATCATTCCAAACGGTCTTCCAAAAGTTTATAATCGTTAGATATGTACCTATTGCTTTTACAGATAATTGTTAACAGGATAGGACGGAGGTAGGATTATTTTATAATGTCAGAAGGTGGAAAATTGTCAATTTCACCCTATAACACCTTACGTAAAAACCGCTAGTCTCACGAATTCGGTAATATAAAATCTCTAACATCAAATCGATGACAATATCAAATAATTCCATCGACAGGCATAGGGAGGAACATTTACGAAATATATTTTCCATGACATAGACAGCTAGACTGTCTCTTGTTTTATAAAAATGTATTTCGTAAGTGTTTGAATGATTGTTGCAAATCAATTTGTACAAATTTAATTCTACAACGTGATTGGTACAGTAAAATATTACTTATTCGCAAGATTTTTGATGCATTTAAATTACTCAATAGTGCTGATAAGAATAAATTAATTGTTAAAATGTTTACATAAAAAAGATTCTGACTAACTAATAAGATAGACATTAATATGAAGTCGTTTAAGGTACAATTATATAAACGTAGTTTTAAGAATTAACCGCTTTATTCTTTACTAAGAATTCTCGTTAGATTAATTATGTACATACTTATCACTCCTTTAAAGCTACTTAGACGTAGTTAGGAAAAAAAACAAACAAAAAACAAAAAAAAATAAAAAAACACGTAAAATCCCAAAACATTAGTTTAGTGGTAAAGGTCAGCATTTCGACATAATTATAATATAGATAATGATGATTGGTAGTAATGTTAAATTTGTGAGTATTTTGAGTTTAATATTAGGGGGTCCCATCCTTGCGGTGGACCTGTGTCATACTAAGCCTTATTACAAGTAGCGGTAGGATAATCTCGGCTTGCGAGGCGGTAACGGTCACGCAAAAGCCTTTAATCAATAAGTTGGCTAATCTAGGCTTAAGATGTACATACAAATACAACAACACGTGAGATAACCATTGTTTAGATTTTATAGCGTAGACTTAGATGTAGTATGCACGAGTTTATAGCTTTTTACCCATTGACACGTCTATAAAAAATTCAAATGTCCAAAGCCTTAATGATTTTTAATCTGTTACTACTATAATTAAACATTCTAAGTTTAAAATTTTGAATTCCTGTCAAGCAATTTAAATTTGGAATAGAAATTAAACTATTGTACTTTGTTACGCGCGTACTTATCTATAATTTTGAATCTATGCACTAGCTTAATTAGCGTTAGTATTATGGATACCCTTTATAACCTTTAACTCATGTAGTGAATAGTTTTAATTGTTTACTAAAGGAATTTTAATATTAACCATTTCATATTAAGATTTCTTTAGTATAACCTCTAGTGTTTAAGATAAGAATGTACATATTCATGACAAAACTTTCGGCGATTGCGATATTACTTAGGCTAGACCTGTACTACACGTGCAGCTAACAAATTACTACCGATTACAATTTACAAGTAGCTAGGAAATACAATGAAACGAAAGTCCGCATTTTTATATTCATTGGCTCGCGTCATAAATGATACTATTATTATAATATATTATATAGTTTTATCGTGATATATATACAAGAGATATACCGTTAACAGTTAAAAGGGTTTAGCACCGCTCTTTCAGAATATAGGTACAAATATATGTCGTAGCGTAGATGATTTAGAATTCAAAAAATATTTAAAAAAAAGAAAAAAAAAATTTAAAAGTGAAAACGAACAAAAAATTACAAAATGGAAAATCCAAAAAAAAATAGTGATAAGTTTCGATTGATACTATAAGCACGTAATTTTCATGTGAGTATTAAGTGAGTAGTAGATAAGGCAAACGCTCAAGGAGATCCGCGATAGCTCAAGGGCAATTAAGAGAGAAATAAGATAGTTAAGAGACATAGTTGATAAGAAATGAGAAGTCCAGGAGATTCCATGTATTAGTTAGTAGAAAATAGAAAAAACATGCATAAGTACAAAATAGTGTAACATCCTCAGAATTGGCCACAGTTTATTTGACTTATAATTGTTTAAACTATGAATTTATTTCAGGGATTAATCTGAGTTTATCCTCAACTTCGTACTAAACCTTTGTTAAAAATATTGTGTGAGAATATGTCAAATGACTGTAACATCTGAACGTCGAAATAATCACCAATTATAGGAACTGAAAAAAATAATGTATAAGATCACAAAGGAAATGTTTTCTCACGTAATATTTTCCTGTTTCAATTAGTGAACCATGTATTTATTTCCATTAAACCCCTCCCCCTAGCTGTGACTTTAAATTTTAAACAACCCTCCTATATAAGATTAGATAATAAGATTAGCCGAAGAAACATGAATTTTAATATTATTTGAAAATCTATGGTTAGTTGATCTCATCAGGAAACGTGGAATGGCATACACAATCCGTTCCGACTTTTAAACATGGAAGAGGTTTCTTAATTTCTTTGTGTTTGTTCGTCGTTTAAAAATAGATTTTTATTATTATTTTTGAATGGAAAGAAGTTATTTCAAATTTATTTTTTTAAGAATTAACTCAAATCATATCAGAGAAATGGAGAGGTACTTTCCAAAATCAAGGTTTGGAATAGACCTGATGCTGGAGCCTAGAGTCAGTTGAAGAAACTCATTAATGATTATCAGCAGCTACTGTTTGGTTTGGGTACTTACTGATTGATTCTCTTATATTGATACGACCTTCACGCCTACTAAGATTGGTTGAAAAAAAATTAAATTGAAAGGAACTCTTCGACGGCTTACAGTATTTACTTCCAGATTAATGAACTGGAAGTCAGGATTTTTATAATAAAAATACTATGTATAATTATATACATAGTATTTTTATTATAAAAATCCTGACCAATCCTGATCAATCCAATATTTCTTATTGGTTTCTTTACATACAACAATCAAAATATTTTGTACATATAAAGAAATATTATCTGTTCCTACGAGGAAACTTAATTTTTTATCGCCTTCCAGAAAAATCAACTTGATACCGAAGACACAGTTGCAGGAAAAGTTTATAAAATAACTAGCTGAGTCAGCGACTTCGTACGCGTAGAATAGTTATTTTGGATATCAACTTTTGTTTTTCCTGTTCAACTCTATAAATTTGAACTGTTATCCACGATGTCGTTCGCGTCCCGTCGTTCTTGCAAATTAATCTTAAAAGATAGACATATGATTTCTTTAGATCATTGAAACAGGAATAATTCTTTCATACTTATTTTTTTTGGTATCATGAACCGTTTTCGCAGCGGACACAATGAAAACTCACAACGGTGAATGATTTTCCGCGTTTTTTGGACATTTCCGGCTGTTTCTTCGCTCCTATTAGTCACAGCGATACGATATGCCTATAGCCTTACAATAAATGTTCTAACTCACACAAAAATACTTCTTCAATTCGAACCCGTATTTCCTGAGATTAGCACGTTCAAAGTAACAAACTCTTCAGCTTTATATATAAGTACCTATAGATATGCATTACAAAGGTGTATGTTATAAAAATCAAACACCAAAACAGTCAAGGTGTCGTTTCTTCTTTGTATATATATATATATGATCCTCGTTACGTTTAAGTCTAACAATATAATTATTATATTATAGAATAACGAAACATATTAAAAGAATAATGATTTTCCATAAAATAAGATTTAACGCCATCTAGTATTACAATCTGGTACCTCAATTTCATTTACTGGAAGTATAATGTTACTGCAAGAATAAAGATGGCACTACTAACACCAACATAATGTCTGCTTGGTACAGTTTTATACCGAAAAAAATGTTTACCTTACGAATTAGAGGGCGTTTTATAAAGATTATCAACAAATTAGCTATTTAATAATCTGACCCAGCTACTGTAATGTTGTAATTGTAATATAAAGACGGAACATCTCGGAATTTTAGAATCCATCCTCATTAAAAATCTATTTTACTTTTTTAGGTTTCTTTAGGCTTTATTGTGGATACTGGTAACCATTTTCATACACTGATCTCTCTCTCTCTCTCTCAGTCTCTAATCACGGCAAGGACAAGACTATCTTTAATGAGGATAAAAAAATAAAAAGACCACAACGCACTTATACTTAGTATGTATAATTTACGTCGATTTATAAAATACCCAAATAACAATAAAATTTGTTGCACCCTTAAAGCTAAACAATATAATTTTGACTAGAACTGACTTAAATAAACATTAAAATATATCTGTTTTTCATATTCACAGTATACTTTTAACTGGCGAAATGCTGTACACAAAGAAAGTACCATAATTATTACGACAAGTTATATCTACGATTTTCTTGTGGGTTCTGTACAATTTTGGCTATTGGTACACTTGGAAGTACATTAATCTTGACGCTAATTTATGTCCTCTAAATACCATCGTAAATATTTCTACTTGAAGATACTGTAAAAGTAACACTTATAACCTAGATCCTATAAACTAAGAGTTATGGCAGAAGTTACTTTATACTTAGGAACGATTTTCAGACATATATTTTATCAACTAAGAACTGGACTTATCGTAGATCTTAAGGCGGACATATTTCTGTTTCCGTTTCATACAATTGCAGACGGTTGATGAAACTTTTGTTCTCTGCTAGAGAGAAACTATTTCTTTAGTATCGTTGCTAGGCAACCCGTTTAACATGTGTTATTATTAATTCCAGCAAAACCCTCTCTCATTTTATAGGATAACTAGGAAATAAATGGCACAATCTTTACAAGATTCTATAGTAACGTTACCTAAGTAAACATCAATATCTCCTAATAATAATTTAATTATGTACAATTTGCAAGTCCACGGTGACTTGAAACATTGCTTTGTGTTTTTAAGTACAATGGAAGTCAGACATTTTGAAAAGATATAACGCAACCTCTATACTTAAGGATGCTTGGGGCAGAGTGACCTAACAAAAAACAATATTTTCAATAAGGAGGAAAATAAAAATGCGCAATTAACTTGGGCAAAAATGAATTTGTACTATTATTTGTGTAAGAATTATGTTAACAATTGTCGGTCACTGTGCTTTTGTAGAGTAATATTTTTAGACTATGTAAATATAAATAAAACAAGTCATAACATTGCAGTTAGGTTACACTGCCTCTAGCTGCCTCATATTATTGTTTACTGTTACGAAAATTCCACACCATATCTAAAAATAATATCTACTGTGTACATGACATATGAGGTAGAATTTTGATCAATGCATGGAACCTCTTTAGCCCATCAATGTCTTCAAAGATATCAGGTTACAAAACAAAATAAATAATCTTCATTAGAATTTGATTGTTCTTAATTTAAATTGTTCTAGAATATTTCTACGCTTTGGTATTTACAGTCACTTGAACTTAATGTGCAACCTATTTCAGTATTACGTGTGAGTTAAAAAATGCTCCTACACACATTAGTTTCTTTAATACATCAGAATTGCTTTTATATTGTCTACAGTACAACTATTTCGAGGGAAACGAAAATCACACTTACTTCATGAATTGAAGGGTATAGATACTATATTGATATAGATACTAGATATATTTAGTCGCTGTGTTTCGTTGGCTTGAGCAATATAGCATGGCAACACATTCAAGGCATAGAGAATGAGTTAAAGTCAAAATATGAGTTGAATGAATTCGTCTCAGTCACGGTTAGGCTGGTGACAGTCGCCGTGGACTTAGGGAAACCACCTTTGTATGATCCTAAGCGGGAAACCGGATTACGGCTTCCGCGAGTTTCACTTAATCAATGTTCCGTACTAAAGTATGAATTCTGCATCAAGTACAGTTTATCTATTGGATTCACGACGGCTCCAGTGCCTAGGTTCAGTGGCTCGTGGTTGCCGTGGTTCGAGTGACTGTGCCCGTGATGTGTCACTTCCAAGTTCTGGAGACTCATGGTATCAGACGCACCTTCATCGAGCTGATCGAAATTACTTCCGTCCAAAGATATATCTGAACTGCAGAAGCTGTCGCCGGAATGCGCTGGATAGTCTGTAAAATAATTGAATTCTTTTACGCCGCGCCTTTAGCTAAGGAACCAAATGTTTACTGAAGACATATACTCACCATCAGGGGAATAAGGCAAATTCGGGTTCAGTGGTTGACTAGACGCGGAGTAGCTAGCATCTAGGCCTAAATAATTCCCGTGTTCACTTGACGGTGACTCCTGCTTGATGCTCTTCTCGTCCTTGTCTTTTTCCTTATCGTTGTTCTTATCGCCCTCTTGTTTGGCTTTGCGCTGTATTTTTTTCATCTTAGCCCGTTGATTTTGAAACCACACCTGAACAACTCGGACACTCAAGCCAGTATCTTTAGCGAGAGCCTCGCGGACTTTTCGGCAAGGTTTGGGACTCACTTCGAAGGACGCTTTAAACTGCCTTCGCTGGGCTGATGTCAGGATCGTTCTAGGCCGCTTTGGTCCACGCCTGCCGTCTCTGGGTCTCTCGGAGTCATCAATTATCATATCGTCCTCGGCGTGCTGCATCAAATACATTTCCTTTTCGAAGTCTTGTCGGCAGAAAATTTGACCGGCTCTGATGACGTACTGTTCTCCCTTCTGCAAGGGTTGACAGCACATGACACACACGAAACAGTGAATATGGAAGACGTACTGCTGCGCCCTCATGACCATTTCTTGCGGGAGGAGCCGGTCGCCGCATCTGGTGCATTTGACGCCAAACAGTCTATGACAAATAGATTAAATGGGTAATGGTAACACGTTAAGTTATCGCAGAGCTACTTCGCATGGCGTTCGCTAGCGTGCGCGAGCATTTCGCATCATTTCTTGTAAATGTTTTATATTTACCTGTCGTAGTCTGGTTTGCAGTACAGTTTTGCATTTCTGGTGTAGCATGTGTGCGCTAAGGGGCAGCCGCAAACACAGCAGCTTAAGCAGTGTTCGTGCCAGGACAGTTCTCCAACTCGCATGAGGTATCTGTCTTGGATTTTCTGGCCGCAACCTTCGCATATTTCGACGATTTTTTCTCTCTTAATACTCGCACTCAGTTCTGTAAGGAAATTTAAGTATTATCTGGTTTTATAGAAGACTTTATACTAATAGGATATAATTTCTTAATTTGTGATAATGCACTCCAAGTATCAAGTCTTGATGAAAATGCCAACATCTATATGAGTGCTGTACAAAACTAAGCGATACTTAATTTAATAAATTTTCAGTTATAAATGCTGAAAATTTATTGAATGTCTTTTTGCTGGTGTATCGCTTCTAACTAACTCATGGTTTAAATGGACGATTGATGGAAACAAAATAAACAAAACGCAACGTGCCTTTACTGAAAATCGTTTAAATTGAATAACGTTACAAAATTACAAATATCCAGTTTCCAATGCGAAGTATTTGATTAATTTGTGAGGTGTTCAGTGGAAAGTCTATATTGAAAATGATAGTAATTCCGTGTTGAAAACACGGCGATCTACGATGGTAAACTAACGATTTAATTTTCAAGCTATTATTTCTTAATACTAAAAACACTTATACGAAAATTATCATTAACAAATACTTTGCAATAAAAATTAAATTAATTAATTAAAAGTTCGCTGTTGCAAATAACTATTCATATAGGTACAACTTATGTTAGAAAATTTTGACTTCCATTTATCTAAAAAAAACCTTAACTAACATCACAACGGATTGGAGCGGAAATGTTCCGTCTCCGTTCCACGGATCGGCTTTATAACTTAGATATTATAAACCGAATTGAACGGAAACAGTGATACTCTTAGTAGTTTTAATAAATAAGTACACATTTAAATAAAACACTTTAACGGTTTGAAACGCGGTTTATTAGTTAAGCATCCGAAACTGTATAAGTTTAACTAATATAACGCGTTTTAAAACGTTAAAGTGTTTTATTTAAAACAGAACTTAGCAGTTTGTTTGTTGAATAAACTATAATTACAGTAATTTCCATTGCTTTTAAGCTAACTGTTTATATTTGAAGTTGCAAACCCGTAGGCGGCGGCGACATTCAGGGTACTTTTACATTATGTTGTAAGCCGTGATACAAAAAAAACAATCTGTCTTGTTCTTCATTTATTATTATATCCTAATAAAAAAACACTAGTCATGGGACTGCAAAATATAGGTCTGGAAGCAAACCCACCACTCGGTTCCGTTGTTTTGCCTACCACTTGTTTGTCAATTCAAGCGATAAGGTTTATGGATAGACTTAAGTGTTCACTCTTATGAATTATTAAAAAAAAAACTTTTAGTCTAAGTGTATTTTCTAGCTAAATTCAATGTACACTTACTCTGTCGTACAGATTGAGTTTAAGATGTATTTTTTAGTATTTTTTGGTTTTGTTACAGAATTTCTACGATTGATGTCATAGATGTAATTATAATTAACGTAAAGCTAAAATTAATCCAGTTTTAAGTAAAGCTTCTTTTAAAATGTGTATGAGAGAAAAAACCCTCTTTAAATGATCTAAAAAAAGAAGTCCGCGACGCTATATTTCTTAAGATTATCTTGCAAGAACGACGGGAAGGGACGCGACCGACGTCGTGCGTAAAAACACAAAATTTGGATTTCCAAAATAACTATTACGCGAACGAAGTCGCTGGCTCAGCTAGTATTATATAAGCTTAAGAGTTTATTTGTTTTTTTCAACGCGCTATTCTCAGACATTACTGGTTCAAATAGAAAAAATATTTTTGTGCTGGTTAGAGCATTAACCGAGAAGGATACAGGCCATAAAACATCGCGCTGCAATGAATAGGAGAAAATTATTCATTTTTTTGTTTTCCGTGGCGTGCGTTGCGAAAATGGCTTAAGATGTTTCAAAAATATGCGTGAAAAAATTATTGCTCCTAGAATGATCTAAAAAAATGTCCCCAACACTATACCTCTGCCTATCTTTTGAGATTAACTGATAGTCATACTGCTATAATTTATAAAAATGAGGAGGTTTGAGAAAACAAATTTCAATGACCAAATTAAATATTCTAAGCGGACGAAGCCGCTGGCAGAGCTAGTTGTTATAAACGGAGTCTGAAAGGATCTTAATTTCTTGAATGCATTGTATGCTATATCTAGTTAATATAGCTCCATCGCAAGACAGGGTCGACGTCTCAAGTCCTTACTTTGGGTGGGGATTACACGCCCCAGAGGGAGGGGCTACAGTCACCCGGGTCACGGATCAAACGGGGAACAAAACGTCGGCATAAAACATCCCTAACAGTTAATCGATGCGAGATGCGTGCTTGGTATACGATTGGACGATATTATTCGTCTAGCGTTTAGATATTGGAACGGTAAGACCTGGGAAACGTTCTTTTGCAATGGGAAGTATATAGGTCTCACTTGATGGTAGGTGATATACCTCAGCCTATAGCATGTAAAGAAGACGCGCTGTCGACCTATTTTGGCTTTCGGTATTTCGTATTAAACAGACTGTAACCGAAACGCGATTAAGCGACTTTTTATATCCGTGGCCGGTGGTACGTGACCCGAGCGGATTTTTCCATATTTCGACCACCTATTCAATATCCAAATTCCTAGACGAAGCCCAACATACTGTCTATAGTTTACGCGAGTAGTACACATTTAAATAAAACACTTTAACGGTTTAAAACGCGATATATTAGTTACTTATTTGAAAATTATTTTTAACTTCGACCCGACGTTTCGGATGCTTTGCAGCAGCCGTGCTCATGGGGAGACAAATAAGTTTAACTAATATATCGCGTTTTAAACCGTTAAAGTGTTTTATTTAAATGTGTACTACTCGCGTAAACTATAGACAGTATACTGAACACGGTCAGTGGCGGAAATATAACCTTTGTATTTAGCTATACAATTGGACCGTCGGGGTTATACAAGAAAACGTTTGATCTAGACTAAAGGTTGATATTTAACTTATAATATAATTTTAAAAGACTGGAGAGAGAGTTCTGAAAAATATATATGTAAAATTTAGTACTTAGGCCATTGGTATTTGTTCTTACAAAAGAAAATAGGTGTGTACCTATTAGGGATTTTCACACAAATGTACGCCGCTTTATATATAATTCCTTCCATTAAAATGAATAGGTTTGCTGGTCGGTAAATTGTATTTACGCTAAATACATTGAACTTATCTGCATTTGCTAAGTTATTAGTTGTTTGGTAAATTATTTAAACGTTACCAGGAGTCCTTTAATGAGTACAATGTAGTGTTTATATGTAGAAAAGGCATTGTTATCGTTTTTAATAGGGCTAAACGCTTTTGTTAAATACTTTCTCTAATGTTAAGATTGATAATGAATTAATGGAAGTTAAGAGTGACAATTACATTGTGGAACCGTTTACAAATGTTTAGTTAGTTAACCTATATAACTATATAATATTTATTTATTTAATATCTGTACTATTTTTTTTTTGTCTTAATTATGATATGATTTTGCGATATTTCTGTTTGATTCCTGTTTTCTTAAACAAATAAATATATAGTCTATAACTATTACAAATAATAAAAAAATAGTTATTTCGACAATTAAAAACAATGAAATTCTTCTTTTATACCTGAACAATTATGTAAATACTATAATAATATTTTAGTGTTTCCACATCAAGGCAAACCCCAAAATGGAACCTAGTCAACAAAGAGTTGAGAGACTATTATATATTATTTTGTACGCTAAACAAATGAATACCACACAAGTGTAAAGTAACAAACGTATCATGCTATTTTATGCATCGTATAGTTTTGGTTTTGACCGTGTGTGGACTCTGGACATAGTTGTAGTAATTTGATTGTCTCGAAATGTAGACAATATATGTTAAATGCTGTTATGTTTGTTCGTATGTAAATAGATAGTTGAAAGTATACGAAAATACATTCAGTATTACCTCTTAGGTGTTATACAATTAAGTACTGGTATGTACGGAGAAATATCAAAAAAAAATGTTTTAAATCAGACTTCTTTATGGATCTTTGTATTTTTAAAAATGGTTTTTAGCGTGATATATTTATTAATATTATAGCATTAGTTGTATTTAAGTGAAAAGGTAACAAGAAAAATGATTATTTTCAGTATCTTGGATGTATTTATTAATTTCACCAAACCTTTCGGTACTAAGATTTTGGTATTAGATACTAAGACATAGCTTTAAGTATGATGAGGTTAATTAAAACTAATATGCCATTGTCGAATGTCCAAATTCTTAAATATAGGTATAAGTTCAGCTCAAAACAACTGACTGCGAAGAGCCGTGGTAACTGCCGTACTTACTAAAAATGGTTCCGGGTAAAAAATGTTGTTTGGTTAAACTGACCTTGTGAAGTTATTACTAGGTATAGTGGGGTACCAGGTATATTGTACAATAATTTTACTTAAATACCTATGTATTAAAAATTGGGTGAAATAGTCAGAAGATATTGGACTGCTCTATATCGGTGTTGCCAAAAGAAAATAATCTAGATACTTGATCGATACACAAATATGAATGTGAAAGATTAGATTTTTGAATAAAGTTTCAAATATTTATAATGTGAGTAAAGATCTAAATTCATTAATCTTAATTTTTGTTATGCTAAGGGTGTATATGGAGCTTTTTAATTCCGCTGACCACTCATTTTCTATGAATATTATCGAAAACGAAGCTACAAATGCGTCTGAGCCAATTCATTGTTCAGTGTTCTCTTTTTTTTTTAATTTTATATGATAAAATTAAATTTATTTAAGTTGGGCGTATGCATAAAATAATTAATTATTTACTACTAGAAATAAAACATGTCTCATCTTATGAACTGTATTTTATTCTGCAATCTACAATTTTATTGGAACCGGCGGAACACCATTATTTTGAGTGATATAAGGTATATACCAACTCTAATTTTTATTATATAAATCTAATACGTTACTAAAAAACTAAAACTAAGTCGAAAATTTTTAAAATAACCAAAGTTTAAATTCAAATCTGCCTTATTAGCTAACTAGCAAGTGAACAATATTTTAAATATTTCTACTTGTTCAATACCCTACGTAGTTAACACGAGCTACTGATTGACATAACCGAAAAGTAACGTTGAATTAAAAGTAAATTAGTGATGTACCTGTTTTATATTTTCAACCGTTTAAAATGTTTAACTTAATATTGTTTTTGCTACCTACTTAATGGTCTTATCGATACTTTAAGTAACAAATTGAAAGAAAAAATATCCTACAAATTACAAACAATATCAAATATACACATTTAATATATTTGGAAATTAGAATAAAATTCGCAACGTCCATTTAAAAAAAGAGCACTGACTAACCTGTTCTTCCCGCGCAGGAGAGCGGCGGTTGCATACCGTCCTGCATCAATCCCGAATTGATATTCGTATAGAACTCTAACATTTTTTTCATATAAAATAACCTGTAGCACAGAACGCGATCGCAACGCGAACCGAACACACAGTGACGTACCGCCGGAGAGAGCACCCTCACAGTTATTCCCTCTCCTCTACCATTGATATTCAACCAATCAGGACCCCTACGTTTGACTCCGCCCAGTATTCGAACCCAACCTACATATAACAGGCCCGGCTATTATATTTCCCCATTGCGATACGGCGAAAATTCCCCTTTTTTCCAGCGAAGGAAAATTCGACAATGTTGGTCGCTTCGATTACGTACTACTGTCACACATTTTCGGTAGCATTGCGCTGAATGAAACTACACTGTAATGATGTCAATTATTTTTTTTTAATAAATTTCAGACTATAAAAATACAGTTACAAATAACAACATATTATCAAGGTTTAAATTTCCAAAGTTGGTATGAAAAAACAAATCACAATTACGATAGTTAATATATACTATAACTATCTAATTTCACTGATCGATGAGACCCCATAAAATTATTACGATTTTTGAAAATCGAATCAGTTGTCAAATGAAATCGTAAGTAAATACATAGACCAAGAGACAAAGGCATTGATTATAAATTCATTAATTGTATCAACCTGGCTAATTTAAAAAGTATTACTTTAATGTTTAATAAGATCGCCAACTAAGGAATTATTTTTTAAATCGTGACCTGAATGAATGAATTGAACGTGAATTTTAAAAATATTTACCTAAATATTTTTAAAATTCCAATTTATCCGAGTCATAAGATATCCTGTTAAATTTTATAATTGTGCGATGGAATTAAATGTAATTATAACTCTTCCATTACTGTCAAAACATGTAATAGTCAAATGCTTTAAACTAAAATCTGTCCGAAGCTTCTGTTTTTGCTATCACAATACTTTCAACAAATGCTTCGCATTGTTGTGAGTGTGTAACCTATTTCAATTTTGCGCAGAGGTGCGTGTATAAAATTATTGCTAGTGCAGTAGAAAGTCGTAATTAATCGTAACGTGTGATAATTAAAGCTTGATGTAACTGTGTTGTTTGGATCCAAAATCAAAAAGCTGAGACGGAGATCTTGCTCGCCTTCTTCTGCTTTTATTACTAGATTGCAGCGTCTGCGTAGAATACTTATTTTGGACATCTAAATTTGTTTCTGCAAACCTTCTCCTCCATCTTTTTAACTAGAGCTGCCCACGACGTCAACCACGTCCCGTCGTTGCAAGTAAATCTTAGTAAAATAGACATTAAGTGTAGAGGACATTTTATTAAATTATTTAAAGAGGAATCATTCTTTCATACATATGTTTGGGTGTCATGAACCGTTTTCGAATCGCACGCAACGAAAACCTTCAAAGAAACGAAAACCCTTTCCTATTGGTTGCATTGTGATGTTTTATAGCCTAAAGCCTTCCTCGATAAATACTCTAACCAACACAAAAAGAATTTTTCAATTCGAACCAGTAGGCCTTGAGGTTAGCGCGCTCAAACAAACAAATTCTTCCGCATTATAATATTAGTATAGATTCTATATATTGCTCTAATTAATATATTCTTTATACCACGAATAATAAGATACGTAAGTAACCCTTTCTACGTTGTGACTTTTCCTTCTGTATAATAGTGTTGTAATTATAATCTATTTTTTTTATTTTTGTTACTGTCAAACGCTCAAAGTTGTCGGCGCTGTTGCCGCAACGTTCAGCACAAACTGAGTGGCTTATCCTTTTCTTAATCTACTCTATATTATAAACACTGTATTTTTATCTGTGTGTACTATGCTGAGAATATATTTTTTTTCGTAAGAATTAGCAACAGCACGGAACGCTGACGATGCCGGTTCAAGTCCTGCCCGAGTCGAAAATGTTTTCAATTTATTTTCGATTTTTAAAGAATTATCTATTTCAATATTGCCATGCTTTAAAATAAACATTAATCCGTCCACATTCTATGATCGCTTTAGGGCAATTCGACGTCAATAATATTATATTCTAAGTTTCCCTAAAGTCTTCAATTTCCAATATCATTGAACTGCTTGCTATTCACAACTTGTCCCGCTTGTGGTGGGGTGGTAAACTTGCGTACCAGTAGTCGCTAATTTTGTATCGCTTTGATGAGATAGTTCCTTAAGTCAAGTTCTAAATTTATAAATTCTGTCACATAAGTAAACAAATACAATTTAGGTACATTAATTTTCACTCGGAGAATTGTTTATATTTGTGCATTCAACTGTTCTTCGTGAGGTCAGAAATTCGGTTCCCAGTCTGTGCAGCAAATTTTTTGTGAAATCTTTAGAGTCTCTTCGGTGTAAGAAACTTTAACGGTTTAAAACGCGATATATTAGTTAAACCTATTTGAAATTGATTTTTAACTTCGGCCCGACGTTTCGGACTATAGACAGTATTAAAGTTAGGTCTTTTTTGTGAGCAGCCTCCTCGGTACGCTTCCACATTGCAGTTTCCTTTTAGCAATTTGCCAACTCCTGAAGCGTTCTTTGCTCCAACCCGTAAGAGCTGTCCAGTCCGTGCCTACTATCATACAAAAGATATACGTTACTTTAATTATCATTCGTTTAATATGAGACCGTGTTCTCAATTTCCTCTTAGTAAATTTTAGGTCCCTTAAAAACACTTCTGTAAGATGATCCTGTGAAGTTAATTTCGTTTTAAAATACATAAAAATAAAACGGCGAACAATAAATTAATCGTTGCTTCGTCCTGAGGCCGAAGTGTGTAATTTTTTAATATCAAACACATTTTTCTTATGAGAGTTATGTTATACGTAACGTAAAGGTCTTTGTAAATCCCTGACGCTGTGATTTTAAAAGTAATATTTCCCAAGTACTCCTTTATACCACTAATGCAACTCAAATTTCTTATAACGTTGTATGTATTTTTAGGAAAAGCGCATATATGCATTTTCTAGCACAAGTAGTTCTTGAGATAAGCGCGTGCAGAACTCTGCAGCTTTATAATATTGGTTTTGATGTCAAAAGCGTAACATTAGATATTCTGCAAGACCAATGTTGTGTTAAGCAATTTGGCTAGGAGAGTTCAAACTAGTTTTAGACAACTCATTGGTTAATTTAAACTTACACTCTATAATTTCAAGATGGGTGAGAATAGACTTAAACATTACACCAACACCAAAATTGCTCCCATAGAAATAAATAAAAAGAACTTTTTGAATCGTGTAAGGCCATCCAAGGTTTCACGGCCATCCTTCAGCGTATCTTTGTTTTGAGCTATTCGGCCAACGTCAGCAAAAGGGGTTCCCGACGTTTCGCCATCACAAGCGGACAGCATCATCAGGGAATGTTGTTACCGCCTCGATTGCTCGAAGAATTATGTCAAGAACGTCTTTACTCAGCTTACATCGGCCGAGCAGCCCGAAAAACAATATGTTAAAGAAGTTTTTGTCTGTCAGAACAATCTATAACACGTACAAAAAATAGGTCTTTGTCGTTTGGAAATGGAACGGGATTTATTACACTCGTAGAGAGAATATACAATATAGAAGACAAGCACATATATAGACAAGAACAAGAATATAAGCATGGTGACGGTTGCACATTGTGTTAAAAAGCGGTGAAGAGAAATCCCTAGTTTTTTATGCCAAAATACAGCTGGAGAGTTATCTCAGTTAGAGCACTTGTGATATGCTATGGGTATTGTGTTTGAGTGGACCAATTCTGCCATTCAACGACTACTTACACCATCCGTCTATAAACACACATGGAGGAAGAACAATTTTGGATGTGGTATACCGCAGTTGGTGGACCAACAATAGTTGCAAAGATTAGTTTTAGAAGAATACAATTAAGACTTCATTTGTTTATTTATTTTTATGATTTTGTTCAGTTACATTAACTAAATAAATATACACTTTATTACAAATGTATTTAATTGTTATTAGGAAATACATTATTTACTAAAAAAACAAATATTTGAACTAAGATCACGTATATTAGTTCAATTATTATTTACAATTTTTACAATGTATATATATATTTATATATTAAAAAAATTGAAAATGTTGGTAATTCCAATTCCAATTGTAAATATTAAAAAGTCCGTTTTGTATTCTTTGTAAATAATACCATATAATAGAACTATACATTTTTTCATAGATAAGAATTTTATTCAAATAGACAATTGTGAATGTAATAAATTTTTGATTTGTAATTTTAAGGTGGAAAATATCTTTATTCGTTGTTAGAGAGAAAGGTACGGTTAGTTTTAAAGCAACAAAATTATCTCAAAAAATACCTTTACTTTACTTGTATACATGGTTGGATCTATAAAAGGATAGATTCAAAAGCCGCATCCATTTTTTGTATTAGCTCCAAAATTTTTATGGAATTATTATTGTGTTTTCATTTATCAGTAGCAATGAATGGCTCTGCGTGCGTTTGGTTCTATTGTATGCTCACCTCTCCACCACTTCAAGTCCAATGGTGGGCTGAACAAGAAAAATAAAACGCGGACGGGTTACCGCAACTCGTTCTTAATACGAATTCGATTTTGATAATGCCTAGTAAACCGTAAACATTGATGGCTCTATACTTTTTGCTGTTGGCAAATGGAAGAGTGAATTGCACTGGTTTTACAATTTTCAAATATATATGTATTAAACACTGTCTATAGTTTACGCGAGTAGTACACATTTAAATAAAACACTTTAACGGTTTAACGCGATACATTAGTTAAACTTATTTGAGAATTATTTTTAACTTCGGCCCGACGTTTCGGATGCTTTGCAGCAGCCGTGGTAGCTTTGGCTGAAACTTTGGTGGTTTAACTAATATATCGCGTTTTAAACCGTTAAAGTGTTTTATTTAAATATATGTATTAGTTAAGCAACCTTTGGTGTTTTATTACGACAGAGAAAAGACAGGCATTGGGTTAATTATCAACACTTAGAAAATTGTCGTTCTTTAGAGATCAATATGCCTCTTTTCCCCGGACGACCGTACGGTGCAGATATATATATCCACTCCCGAG